GATAAAACTTAAATCAACAAATTCACTAGCTGCTTGGCTTTTAAATGTGACTCTAAGTAGCCAATCTAACAGGGCAATTATTTTTATCTTGCAGCTTTATCTCCTCTTATAACTAATATTACTTTAATATCTCTTACATCCAAACTGGAAATTAAACCTGCCAGTACAATACAATGGCTTTCTTTTTTTTTTATTATTTTTTTATATGTTTTCCTCCACTTTGAAGCTTTGTGTCTCTTCGCTTGTAAATATAGTTAACATGGTCAGTCAGGGCACAAGGCAGTGCATTTTTATGGACATTTTTGAATACTGAGGTTTTTATCAACAACCTGATATGCATGCAGACCTTTTCAACTTTATATTTCAGAGAAAACACATGCATATACATACATGCATTAATTATCATAAGAGACCTGACATACAAATTTACAACAACAGCTGGTAACAGGGTATCTCTAAGGTGCAAAATAAAGAAATAATATAGAAAACACGATGGACAATTTTTTAAAAAGTTACAATTCTACATTCTTTGTGTTGAAAAACTCAGTACTTCAGAACTACTTATCCTACCAATAGCCAAGAGAGGGAAAAAGCATGTACTGCATCTCTGAGCTGTGCTAGTCCAGGCAAATCAACTATTTCCCATTTCCAGCCCCACAGAGTTCCCTTGACAGCCAAAGAGCTAGATTAAGTTTTTCTGCAGAAAAAAAAGCCCCTGGAAACACCACAGCATGAGGAATGCAGTAGGCATTTAGATACTTGGTGTATTCCCAGTTTCCCTTGCCTGACCAATGGCTCTGCAGCCTGTCTACTCCCAACACACAACGAAGCTTGTTGTAACCTCCTCAGAGGTTGTTTACAGACCAGCAAAAATAGAAAGCTACTTCTTTAAATAGTATACTAATAACTTTAAGAGTCCTTTGACAAGTTTAAATCAGACTCCTTGCAGCGAAAAGGAGAGGAGGACTTGTGTGAGCTTTCTCTATTCTTTGGATGATGCTTCCCAGGAGGCTGATGTGCTCCAGAAGCACAAAGCGGCAGCGCTGGGGCTGACCACCTCACACCCACCCCTTTGGGGATGTCAGGCCAGTTCTGCAGAAAGGTAAACAGAAAGCTAGCACAGGGCCCAATGGATCCAATTATCTCAAGTTTTCTATCTCAAATTTTCTTTTCCTTCTAAATTTGCATAAAACTGAGCCAAGACCTGAGATACATCTAAATTCAGTTTTGTAAGCCAAGCACTTACCAGTATTCCAAAGCATCATCAGGAGAACCACGCATCAGCCACGTTTGTTTATTACCACGTTTGAAGACTAAGAAATGTTTCTGGTATGATGGAGCAATGACTTTAAGGAGAGAAAAAAATGTCACCCCTCAAACAGTGGCTGTGCAGGTAGGTGTAATATTTCACTGCCTTTACTAAGATGTATTAAAAAGATTTGAGAGGATATTGGGGCTGGGAAGGGGGGCAAACAGGCAGTTTGTTTCCCTAATTTTTTCCCCAAGGAAAACCCGAAAGGACACATTCACTGTGCTGGTAATGGCAACCCTATAAGTTCATGGACTGTTTTTCCCTGCAGTGTGCTACCCTGCCTGGGCTTTACTAGGCCAGGATTAGATTCATAGCTAAGCAAACACATGCAGGCACATAAAATAGATTTTTTTCCTTCAGAAAGACTAATTAACACATCACACATGCTTTTTCTTTTGTAATGTCAGAAACTGGCAACCATGCAGGATTTGCTGTCAAAATGTTACAGTTTGCACTGGGCTGTGAAGGGTTTTTCCCTAAGGCAGAGGAATAATGGCAGCAACAAATTAAAATGTAAGCTTAAAAGATTCAAATGATTATGAAATGAAACTGGTAAATAATTTCTTAAAAGGCAGCACTGTCAATGATCATGCAGTCCACCAAGAGTCAAAGCCGAACCCAGAAGTGCTTGTTCCAGCTATGCAGGAATTCATTATGCTGGCAAGTGCTGACCCACAGCAATAAATTATCACATAGCTCTGGGCTGAATGGCACCCAGGCTGGAGTATAAATAGATTTGAGAAACCCTTCTCACCTGTTATTGGCCTCACGGTCAACACGTCCTTCTGCAAATGAGTTACAAACAACACTACTTGACTGCTGTCCTGGGTAAATATATATATATATGCCTTTTCAAAAGCAGTGCATCTTTTCCCAGTGAAATACATTTCAACTTCTTACATAAAAAATTGTGATTGAAGACAGCTATGAGACAGAAATGACTGAGATTGCAAATGTGCAAAGCTTTGGGATTTGGGCCAACTTTTCTTTGTTCAGGTCTATTGTGAGCACAGAATACACCTAGTTAGAAAACTTTATTCTATACGGGACCTTTTGGGTATGTCGTTCCCCAACCGTGTAAATAAAAGGCACCATTGTAATGCCAAATAATCAATAGTAGCAGCAGATGACACAAGCCATAGCAAAGGAGGAAGAGTAAGAGAGGGCCAGTGAGAAAAGGATACAGCGGTACAGATTTACTGCGTATTGGAATTGCACTGAGGAAGATTTTCAGCTAACTCTTACTGGGACAAGAGCAATCTGTAAGTTTGGGGAAAAAAAAAAAAAGTAGCTTCCTAGAGGTCTAAAATGTGAACTACTACAAGCCCTGGGCAGGGCCGGGAGAGGCCGCACGGTGCTACCAGTGCCTTCAAGTGGCGCATTAATTGCAGGATCCCTGCAGAGTGGAGCAGCAGTTCCTGCAGCGGCTGCGCGGCGGGGCCCGCTGCGGCAGAGCTCCAGCCTGCAAGGGACCCACCAGAGCGTCCGGCTGACTTAGCTGGAGGGCAGCTGCTCCCTGGGGAAACAGGAGCGTGTTTGGTTTGCACTGGGTGATACTGAAGCTAAAAAACTGCCAGTCAAAGCAATAGGGATCCTAGCACTGGCACAATTACATCCATATGCGAGTCATCTTAGTGGTATACCCAATTTCCCTTCTTGAAATAACACGTACTGCTATTCGAATATTGGCACCGACAGAAACGTGTCAACACTGAACAGTTTTACAGCCTAATATATTATATACACTGACAGTATACACAGAGGAGGACCACTGTGTAGAGGAAGTGTCTCCACGCACAGACGTGTGCGTATAGATGCGCGCGTGTGTCTGCGGAGCAATCTGGAGCAGCAGCAGGTGACTCACAAGGGACGTGACATTGCAGGCTGTGCCTGCAAGCTTGGGCTGGCCGCAGCGCCGGCCGCTGGGCACGTCTGTCCGTCCCAGCGACTGCCCTGCGCGTCCTGCAGCCTTCACCACAGCCTCCAAAGGGGAAGGGGCTTTTGCTTTCTGCTCTCAGATGCAGCAGAGGTGAAACACGCTAAGGGGCTGTGAAAGTAGCACAGCCTTCATCTATCCAGGGCGCAGCTATCAGCACAGAGAGAGGCTTTACAAGCTCCTTTACCACGGCCAATTACATTCAGAAACATTGTGGGGGGTGGCGGGGAGGGCTTTTCAGGGTACAAAGGAGCAGTTTGTTCGTCAAAGATACCGGGTTTTTTTGGCTAAAGATACCAAGGCAGAGTGGAGGCTGAAAGGTTCAGGTCAATTCTAATTTTAACTAGAGTGGTTTTCTCACCTCTGCCTGTATCAAAGGCAGTATCACAGTATCAGGACTCAGCGTCAGCTGTCAGAGATTTGGTAGCAATGCAACCACTTTTATTCCCATCATCACTATTTAACAAAGATGAAAATAGCCACCCCAGTGGAGCCCCCCTCCCTCCGCCTGAGAGAGAGACTTCAACAGCTGCTTCCCAAGCCCACCTTTAACCTTGGCAAGAGCAAACTCCACCAGAATCACCTTAATATACTCCATGACCCAGCTGCACCTCTGCAAAAGCAGCTCCCTTCAGGTGCATTCTTTAATTCTCTGCCCCACCTTTCACAGCAACACCACGAGGCAGCATCAACATTATTTACAACAGGAGACTTCAGCCTTTGCATCAGACTTCAGGTTCACCCTTCCTTCCTTATCCTCCCTCCCTATCTGCCATTCATTTTTCCATACCATACCCATCCCAATGTCTTCTTGGTGCTGCCAGGTTCATGCATTTACATTCCTGCAGAAGTTTGTGGCTGCATTTCCACAGGGAGATTGCAGCTCCAGCTAACACATACGCGTGGCACAAGCACTCTGAAGAGCAGACAAGCCATGCCACCAGGCATGTGGTTTGATTCTTGGTGAGAAGAAAATGCCCATTTGAGGAAATGATGGATTTTGTAGACTAGGTTCAGAGTACATACACCAGTCCCTTCTGCTCATGCAACTTCAGAGCTCTAATGCCCCCTTGCACAGGCAGGTGGCACAGGACCGCTCGCTTCCTACTGTGTGGGGGAACGTAAGCTTTCTTCACTCCTTCATGGTAGAAGCCACGTTACCATTTATTCCCTGCCTTCCCGTGATGACAACTCCTCTTACCTTCAGCAAGCAAGAGGAACCATTTGTGAGATCCAGGGTCTGTCTCTGGGCTCTGACAGAATGTAGGGTGAGAGTAAGGCAAGGTACACAATTGGCACACATTCCTTGTGCTATACTAACTTCTGTGGGTTAGCAGCTGCACTGCACATTAAATGAAACTATTAAATGACTTAAACAGGCTCTGCAAGTGCAGCTTGCAGTCTCCTCCCTGATGAGACTTCTGCAATAAAATTATAATAAAAATAAGTTAGAAAAAATAAATATTTAAATTCTTACCAGTGCTGGAAGAAGGTCCAACAGTGATTTGCCTTTTGTTTCTATCATCCAGAAACCTTAGCAGCTTCTTAACAACTTCTGAGAGGTATTCCTGTGCAAACATGGCAGGAGAGCTCACCTGAGCTGAATTAACTCCTCCCCATTAGCCCCCCTGCTTGTCAGTGCAGACAGCCACACTGTCAGCTAAATTTGATCTCACAGTGGTAGGAGTGTCCCCCTCACAAGGAAACTGCCTCAGCTGGAGAGTTAATAAAAGAAAACACCTAGACAGAAAATAGGTACCAGCAGGCAATGCTTTATTCTCATTGACTGTGGGGAACAGTATGCATGAAAGCAACGCTTGAAGCCAAAAGAGAGTTAAGGAACCAGTTACATGGGTTACTTTTCAAACCTACTTTGCAGGTACTACAACTAAACGCATAAAAACAGGCTCTGGGAGACCTCATATGATGTGCACAAAAGCTCTTTTTTAGTCCCAAATGCAGATACTTCCCCCCACATTCCCAAGGGCCCAAACATAGCCAAGGAGAAAGTAAAACCAAAGAGGTTTTATTCAGCCCAGCAAAAGTAGCATGTGCATAGCAGCATTTATGGGGCTCCAGAGGGAATGATCTGCAGAGGAGGGAAAGAACAGGACGACTTTTGAGGTAGAATAAGCAAAACCGGGAGGCCCTCTACAGATGCCAACTGCTAAAAGAAGAAAAACATTTGCCTGTTAAAATAGATCTCGAGCAGTAGCAAACTGCAGGTGCTTAATGAAATGACATAGTTAATTTAAACTCAGCCACCCTCTAACATTCTCCAGTATTTCACCCATAGCATTTGGATGCACACGTACACTCTGTGGAGCCCTGTCATACCTGCAAAACAACTGCACGCTGCCAGGCTATTCCCATTTCTGGTAAGCTGTTAGAAAAACTTCTCAAGATGCTAAATTCCAAAATGCTCTAGCAGAGCTCCAAGGACTATGGCTTCCATCAGGGTCTGCAGGATCCCCAGCAATACCAGTGTTTCAGAGCCCAGATCACATGCCAAGACTTCACAGAGACGAGTTCCTGAGTACTCCCCGCTACCAAAAGTTGGGAGTTAAAAACACAAATCAGCAGCAAAAAACCTTTTAGAGTAGTCTACTAAATCATTTCGCCACTTTAGTACTATAACAAGAAGAAAAAAAGAGATTCCTTAAGAGGTGACCCAATGCAATAATAGTATCTGGCAAGCTGGAGTCCTGTATAGCTTTAGACATACCAAACAATGCAGCAAATAAATATAAGACCCCTGAGATGGGCAGATCTCCCTGGAGTATTCTTTGGCCTCCCAGCTTCATACAAGGTCCTTGTACCTGTCAAGAAGCTGTCAAAGCTCTTTTAACCTTCCATGGGCCCAATGTGTTTCATGCTGTTATTTTCCTATTTTTTCTTCTCCCCAAAACTTCCATTTTTCTTTCTTTCAAAACTGTGCCAGTATACTGAGTATTGTATGAATGCAGACCAGGTTACTCTGTTTTCATATCTGCCTATTCAGATGCACCAAAACCTGCTGCTTTCAGCCCTTCCTCTCTTCTCTCACCATTTCTCCCCTTGTGCTTCCAAACCTTTGTATGGTGAAGGACCGGCCCATCCCTTCCTCAGTTTCCTGAATCTCAGGTTCAGAAATGCTTAATTGGTCCGCATATAAGACAAACCCTTCTCAAAAGGCAGAAAAAGACATTTAGAAAATGTATATATTTTTAAAAACTATATCTTGTCCCACTACGCCTGACTACATCTTACCTCTCCCCAGCTTCTGTAGGGCACCCTCAGCCCACCCACTGCCCAGCACCCCGTGTGTCACCCAGCACCCCTGCAAGGTGGCACAGCCCCCTGCCCCGAGCCCCTCTCCTGCACCTCCCCAGGGTGCTGGGAGGCAGTCGGATGGTACTGGTCACCTCACCGCATCATCAGTCCATTGCACGGGGGAGCACAGGGGACTACAGACAAAAATGCATCCCCTGAAAGGGGAAGAAAATCTCAGTGCAGCCGGGGAGATTTCTGCTGTTGTGAGCTTGACCTGGACATGTTGGGTATCTGCTATTTCATCAGCAGCTACCAGAGACTTGCAAAGGGGCCACCTGATAGCTTGGCACCTAAGGCATACGCTGGCACATACAGTGAGCTGCACATCCTCCGACAACCCCACCACATAATCCTCTGGGCTAGCAGGTCCTGGTCTGTCATTCTCTACTTCCCAAATCAAGCCATCTAATCCTATAGCCCCTAGGCTTCCAGAGCCCATCTCTTACTTTGTAAGTAAAAAAAAAAAAAAAAACAAAAAAAACCATATATATGCTCATCTCTTATTTTTTAAGTATGTATATAAATATATTATTTTCCTTTTTACAGTTACAAATTGCATTTACACACAGGGTTTTATTTTTTTTGGTATCTATGCAAACTTCTTAGGGAACATGAGCTCAAGATATAAAAGTCTCAAAAAATACTTCCTTTTATTTTTTATTATTTTTTAAAAGCCTACATCAAAATATACTATGTACGTCTGTAACATAAACTCTGTAGGGTTAATCCCGTTCTTCAAAAACACAGAATAAAACCAATGCCACCACCCCCGTTGTCCACTTTTGCCTCCCCCTGTCCCTCTCAGCACCTCTCCACCAGCTTCCTGGAGCGCACCAAGCCTTCAGCTGACATTCAGGTCCACAATGTCCAAGAGGTTCTTTGCCACGTGCTTAGGCTGGCTGGCGGCATGCTCCTTCAGGCTCAAGCCCATCACCTGGTAGAGGCTCTGTGCAAGCTTGGTGACCACAGCCCTGACGTTGCTGCTTCGGACAGGCAGGATCTTGTTTCCCAGGAAGAACCAGAGCACAGGCAGGGCGTAGCGCTTGACAGCTTGGGGTTTCCGGGGATAAACAGATGCCACAAGCACTGCCAGGCAAGAGAGACAAGCTTCTTAACAACCTTACTGCAAACAAGAACCTACCTTTGGTTTTGGTTCTTGGAAGCCTTTCCTGGCTGATACCAGCAAGCACAAAGAGCCTGATGATCCAGAAACAGGCAGCAGTAGCTGATCATCCGCCAAACAGCACAACCAACCTCTGAGGACCTTAATTTTTCCAAATCAGAGGCTTTGTATACATGATAAACTTAGCAAAGTGAATCATACACATTTTGTAAATAATTTCATTATCCAGTTCTGCATTACAAATGACAAAAATGTCAATTCGCTGTTTATTTCCATTAAGAAGTTGTCTAAACCAGCTGCTGAAGATTTTGAAATGCAGCTTAGAGAAGTAATTGAAAGATTTCTAATAAAAAGGATGATTACGTTTTTTGTGACCTTTGATGAAAAATGCCAAAAGTCTAATCTGGCAGCTCCCTTTGCTTAGTGTCACACAGTAAACGGCAGTATTATACCACACTTCAAAACTCCAGCCCCCAAAAGATGTGTGCTGCTTGACAATTTTATTAGAAACATCAGTGACTAACTGATGTCTTTGGCAGAATGGTCTAATTTGAGCTTTTTTTCCCTCATACTTGGTGTCTTCTAATGAACAGCCGTTTCAAACTTCAGGATGCCTTAGATAATTACCCAGACCCCATTGCCATGACATTTGAACATCTCACAATTTTAATGGCATTTACCCTCATAATGTTCCCTGAAATAGGGGAATAGAGATAGAAAAAATCTTATACAAGGAGCTGAAATTTAACTGAAAAACAAGCATTCCCTTTCATTCTCTCTGAAGTCTGCTCTCAGCTCATTTTCTGAACTGAATTATATTAAATATAAACAAAAATTTACTACCAATAGGCTCCTTGCATGGCAGATTTTGCTGAGAGATCAAGATATAAAATGGTCTGGAGACAAAGTTCTTGTTTTCTTTTCAGTGGAAATGTTATGCAGTAACCACTTATTATTCTGTAGTGGAAGGACCATAATTTTCTCTAGGCTGTTAATCTAGCATAAGTCATCAACATTTAAACAGCTCCTGAAAGTACCTAAAACCAATTCTGGTAAGCAGAAAAATGGTTATGGTACCTATTTTAAAATGGGAGTTAATTTGAATTTAAATGCTATTAAACACAGCGGTCACTATGGAGCTTCAGAAGAGAAAAAGCTGTCTGTTTTCACTAAATCCCGGAGAGAACATCTGCTATCTCTAAAGTAGTCCCAATTTATGTTCAAATGCTTTATTTGAAAAAGAAATTAAAATAACTGTAAAATTAAATTCTATGTTTATGGAGATTTACTTTATTCAAATTATCTTTAAAGGCCCTTTTACATTTGCTATGGCTAAACATGCCCTTTTGAGATTCATAATGAAGAAGCAAAGTGTGTTAAACCTTGGATTAAAAGACGCTGGCATAATTAGCAGTGGATTTAGCCCTAACTGAAGCAAGGCTATAAATAGTCTTCTCCAGTATATATTGAGATTATAAATTTTTCCATTCCTTGGTTTATGCTGACATAGCAAGCTGCTATTATAAATCAATTATCAGCTGCATTTGTATTGTGTCAGACACCGCTGATATAGAAATAGACTGAAATGCTCAGAGTCCAATGTCATATCTGCAACACAGGCAGAGAGCCTCAGTGGGATGAGCTGGGAAGTTGGGATGAATGGCCCACTTCTGCCCCCCCGCCCCCAAATCCTGCCTTGCACAAATTCCTTGCCTGTAATGTGTGTTCAGTTTTTCACCTATGCTATGACCCCCTGGCTCTGCAGAATTCAGCCTCAAAAGTTTCCAACAGGAAAATGAGAATCCCATGATGACAGACTGAACTGATCCTCCAGAAATACCACTTACCACAGTTTTTCCTACAGGATGATCGTTTGCTTTAGAAAAGGGACCTCTTACAGGTCCATGACCTTTACTGTACTGTCATTCAAAGAGAGGAGCCAGCCAGGGTATTTTTAGCCCCTCTTTTTCCTGGAGGCAGGTCCTGAGATGCCCCAGTGAGAGCTCAGCACCAGAGCCCGAGTGCCGTCCTCATCTCACATGCTGCACGCCTCTGCAGCAGCTGGGCAAACTCCTGCCAAATACATCTATTACGTGTGCTTTGCAGGAGGGACAAGCTCAGAACCTTCTGATGTTTGATGAGCTACTGCATGGTCTATTCGGAGACATTCCCTCTAAGTGTTCTCTCTGAAAAATTCTTGACTTAGAAGTGGAGATTAGCTAAAGCGGGCGATACCTGAGATATATTCTGTGACATCCAGCAGAGCTTGGCCGCTGAGGAGACACACTCGGTGGGCAAGTGCTTGCAGCAGCAATCTGTTATCTGAAAGAGAAACATTTATTTCTGCTCACTCTTCTGAGGTTATCAGGAAAAAGAAAGGGGGTGAGGGGGGAAGGAGGGAGTTAACTGCAATTTGTAAAATAAAGAAAATTTCTGCAATTTTCTGAGTCCTTTTCTTCTTCTCTGCTTGCTTGCTTGGGGGCATTTTAAATTCAAAAAGAAAAGCTTTCATTTCACATTTGTAAATACAAAGTTGACTGCTGTACAAGGAGCTGTGTTAAATATGTCACATTATATCACAGGTAAGCAGTGAAAAGGTTTTGCATCCCAGAGCTTTGCAGAAGTGACCTCCTCCCTCCTCTAAGGCAGAGTGAGAAGGCTCAAAAGTACACACATCCGTTCACACTTTAAGGATAAGCTGGTGCTAAATCTTTAAGTTACCTGTTGGGATCTACAAACAAGACTCCAAGTTACTCATACAAGAGAGAACTACTGCTCACTGCCAATACCATCTGCTCTCAGGGGCTCTTGTAACATCTCTCAAATCAGATCTTGGCAGAGAGACTGGAAAACAAACTGATTTCCCAATATTCGGCTGTCTTACGTATTTTAGTTTTTCCTGTGCTGTCTGTTGTTGATTTGGGGTCTTGTTTTAATTTACAAAGTGTTGCCTGGGTTGGTTTGCAAGCCTCCAGTCTTACTGCTTTGGAAAGTCAAGCAAAGCTTTTCTTGGAGGCAGAATGCGCGTGGGATGCACTACGATACTTCGCAGTGTCACCAGGAGTGGCACCGATAAGCAACCTACTTCTTTGTGAACCACTACAGAGACAAATCCCGAAGTGGTTTTAAGTAGCACTGTGCTATTAAGTGCTCTCCTTTTTGCTTGAGATATAAAAAGGAATTCCCTAATGATCTTCTTGCAAGTGTGTAGTAAAGAACTGATCCTGCCATCCTAATTAAGCTTCTGCTTTGGTAATTACACTCTTCTCATTCACCTTTTTAAACAGACACTTCACTTTTTGCCTCACACTCTTGCAGCGTTGGCAGATGCTGTTTCATACTTGCTATTCCTCCCCAGAGAGCTACCTGACAGCTGCTCGTTTGAAAAAACCACCCTGTGATCTGGAGAACTTGAAGGAGCATGAAATGTTAATTAATCGTTAATATCAGTATCTACACAGATTTTCAGGGGAACACTTGGGGTTTGGGTAGGTGATGGGGAACTGTTTGCTTGTTTTTTTAGGAATCTAAGTGTATAGGCAATATTTACCTTTCGATTTAAGGGTTTCAAATGCCCTGTGTATTTTGAAACAGTAAAGCGCGAGTCAATAACAAATTTACCCAGCCATTACTTTAGCTTCCTTGAGAGACCAAAGACAGAGGAGCTTTTAATTGGCTGTTAGAGAAAACAAGGCGGCAGGCAGTTGAACTCTTATTAACTTAGATTTAATTCTCTGCACTACGTATTAGCTAAACCTGTTGGCCACAGGACAGGCAGCCCAGCATGTGCAATATGAGCAACAGGAGCATCTGCATCTCCGCACTCTCCCTTTCACTGCGTTCCCCTCTTTGCTACGTTAACACCTTCGGGGGACATTTCCCTTCCCCTCTGGCAGAGGGCTGGTTCCTCCGGGAGCTACCGGGGCTGCTGGCCCGACTCCTCACCCTGGTGTCAGGCAGGGGCCATCTGAAGGGCATTTCTTTCATGACAGACGACAAGGTAAGACAGATGTCAGAGGGGAGCAAGATCTATGTCGTGGTCCCATTGCACTGAGCCTTGATTTGCTGATTCGCTCCCATCTACAAGGTGGCTCCCTCGAGTGGGATTAGGGTCACAGCTAAGGAACGTGTGTGGCCTTCAGCTGGGGACATACAAGCCAATGTCAAGGTTAAGCTAAATAAGCAATTCTGGAGCTATCTCAAAACAAATGAGTTTGTAGGTAGAATTTTGGTCTCGGGAATGGGGGTATGTGTGTGGGGGTGTGGGTGTGGGTGTTTGGTTTTAGTTTTGATTTTCATTTTTGTTTTTACATTGAGCAATCAAGCAATTTTCTAACCAGCTTGCATTTTTGCATGGTTCATTAAAGGTAACAAATGAGGAAGTGTCACTTAAAACTCAGAATCTAAGGCATGACAACACAGTCTCAGGAATAGTGGGGCTCTTAGATATGAAACCAAGTGCAGCAATGGGGCAAAACATTGCACTCACTTACTCTAAGCTAGGAGCATTGCACAATCCTTTAGAGTTCTTGGGGGGGTTTTGTCATTTGCCACTTGATTTTAAATTGTAAAGGCAGGCAATTTTAAAGCATATAGGAAGGTTTTGCTTATGCAGCTTTCCAGTAGAGCCGTCTTTTCCCCAATAAAGCCCTAGGTGTTGAATTCTGAAATATTTGCAATTCAGTTGCCTGTTTGAATTTTTACAAACATCCATAAAAATGAGCAGAACCAAAAAAATATATCTCACCTTGTTTGTTTGAACCTGTCTCTGGGTAAAGACAGTGTGATGCAAGACAGATGTGCCTTTCTTCTGTTCTGGCATCTGCCAGCATGGAAAATTTACAGTGATTTCTCAGAATTGGTAAGTTGGGAATGATAGAAAGCTCCATACAAAATCCTGAAGGGATCTGTTTGCCACATCCTCTATTAGCAGAATTCTGCAACTTTTCCCTAACCTTCTCCAAGGCACCACAAAAAATGGGTAAGGGCCAAGAGCTGTACAGGTCTCACACCCTTCTCCCCACTTCACGATCAGGGACAAACCTACTTGGGACACAGAAAGGCAGCCGGTCAGCAAATTCACTGAGTTCCCAAAGCAGCTGATGTGGAGGAAGTTGTTAATTCCCCTTTAAGACCTGCCTCTTCAACACTAAATTTTTCAGGCATATTCACCCAGTGCTGCATTTTCACGGCTGACATAAATCTGCACGGCAAGAGAATTTACAGCAGACCTTGGCTATGTAGTTATTGGCTATAGCAATCTTGCCCCATGCAGAACAACATGTGGAACAAGCCATCATTTACAGCTGGATTTATACCTGTTTGTTCTAAAGAAATGAACTTGGCAAATCATAAATTCCCTTTTGTAAAAAGAAGACAAAGAAGAAAGGTGGAAAATAGACAGGACCAGCTAATGCTTATAATGTAAAGCCTTCCAGAAAGCAGTTCTGCAGAAGCTCTGATGGGCCAGTGTCCCTTCATGCCAACAGCAAAGCAATCCATTTGGGAAGTCAAATTGGGCCCAAACAACCTCCAAAAATCCCTTTGTCCCTGAATTCTAGCAAAGTTATACTCCAGGATTTATTGTTCAGCTCCTTCTGTACCAAAACAGACAAGTAGCACAGAGCCAAAGGCTCCTGGGATTTTGAGGAAATGCCTGTACACAGTCAAGCCTGTCTGGGAACTGGTGCATAAGGACTGCATCACCAGTTTCTGGTTACCCAGCTCACCAGTTACAGTCGGCAGGAATTTAGGTCCTTTGATATATATCGTAAATCATGTGAGTGATTTGCAAACCTGTCATCAACCATAGAACCCAAATACTTTATGTGGAACCTGCTTTTCTGTAGTAGATTTTAATCAGCATAAAAAACTCTCAGTGAACGCTTTTACTGATGGCATTCAGCTTTTCAAAACCAAACTCCTTGCATGCATAAGTATGCACACACCAGCTCTCATCTCACATTTCAACAGAAGTCAGAGCTGGAGTAAACAACAGATGAAGACCCCCAGGGATCAAAAACTTCTGGTCACAGCTGCAGCGATGACAGTGGTAACACAAGTATTGTCAGTGTGCTGCTGAATCAACACCAGAAGATCAAAAGGGGAATTCAGGCCTGGATTCATCTCACCAAACTTTAAACGCTTCACTGAAGTTTCAGTGAGCAGACCTAAACACCTCCAGCAAGCTCCACAGAGCAGTATGAGTCTTCCTCCCCGATGGAAATGTGAACAAAAAGAAAACCAGGCAACATCAACCATGCTTCACTAGATCCTTGCAGCTGGATCCCCTGGAGGATCCAGCTGCCTAAAATAAAGTGCATAAGGATAAACCTAAGAGTGAGAGAACAACACTTGCTACAGACTTGGGTCTGGTTTTCAGCTGTGTCCCCTGGCTGCAACCAGCCCTACTAGCCCCACCTTTACTTAGAGAGTCACCCAGTTGTCTATCCTTGTACTCATTGTTGTGAATCATTAATATCAACCATAAAATTGAGGTGAGAGAAAAAATGTCTTAGTATAATCCCATTCTACTTTACTCCTGTCCTTTCATTTCTGCTTTTCTGACTCCCTTATTTTTAGGTTACTGCCTCCAAATTAAGGCAAATTGAAACCTATGGTATGTGAGGGGAAGCAGGGAGCCAACTTCAGGAGAGCTTTTAAGAAATACATACTACCCACATGCATACAGTTTTTAGAACAGATCACAAGGGAATACTTCCAAATACACTAACCAAAAAGTAGCTGTTAAAAGCTATTTTGATGAACTGTAAAGACATAGACCAACATAGACTTCTGTAGTATTACCCATGAAAGAACATGCCACTATTTATCAGCCCACAGCATGCAAACACAGAGCTTTTGGACAGTGATAAGGGATGGGCTGGAGATGCACTCTGCAGGGCAGGTGCTCCCAGCCGAAACAAGCCTGAGGATCCCTGAGAGCTTCAGCATAACCTTCATAGGCAGCAGAAGACATGGTTTGGGACACAGGGCAGATCGGGATCTCAGCCTCTCCCTTCTGCAGGTACATATTTTACAACAACAGGCATGCAGGTGGCCCCATGCTCAAGCATCCTGAAAAGGGGATGATAAAGGGGTCCTTTTCCTTCTGGAAGAAGGGAGCCAGGACATTTCTAACCCCACACACATGGAGACCTCCAGGCTGACTATGGAACAAGCACTTCATCCTGCATCTGATCTCCAGTATGATCTTTCATAACAGTATCTTATTAAATTCAAGGTCTCAATCTTTGAATTCAAAAGCACATTTTCATCTGAGCCTTACATGGCTAAACTACTACTTGAAACTACAAAATGAGTAACTAAGTTCAAAGCTTTTCATACTGGGGTCTGCAAGGGTCAGATGCATCTGCTCAGGAGAGCCGCCACTGCCAGCATGTGGAACAAAGCCCATCAAGAGCAAAGAGCCTCCACTACCCTTCCTACCATGTGTTTCAAGGAAAAAGCACATTCCTTTCATCTTGTTTTAGTGGATAAAAACTTAATAGAAAGCACGTCTTAGAAATCCAATTCAATAAAAACAAAATGCGTGCAGTTTTGCATGAAGAAGGGAGAAAAACAGTCATGACAGATGTTAGTCACTGCCCTCATGCTCTTCGGGCAGGAACTTAGAATTCCTATAATGTCCTCTGTGCTGAATTAATAATCAGACATATGACCCAGGTGATAAGCAGCATCCATTCAGCTGCGCATCACAACACGATACAACAGATTGGGATAGAAAAAACGCAGGCAGGACTTCATAAACACCTTGCAGCGGCTGGGTATTTCCACAGATGACAACAGCTGTCAACAGACTCGGTGTTCACTTAACTCCAAGATGGAGAAGCCATAGCTGAGGAGAGTCAGTGTCAGAGGTCAGCCTTACCTAGGTGAGCAATGGATGCTTCCAGCACTTTCACAGCGGCAGCATAAATCCCAAAGTGCTTTGAGTTCAGGTTGTTGGTGACTGCTCTTACCAGAGAGACTAGCACTGGGTGTAAGGCATCTCTGAGAATGGGTATTATCAAAGCCAGTGTCTCCAGTGCCTGCTGGTTCACTTTCTTGTTGCAATCCTGAAGTCTCAGCACAAAAATGTCAAAAATCTGTTAAGAAAACAAATGACATGTAAGCTGAATTTGTTTCAAGAAGGGATGTAGAAACAAGTACACAGAATTGTAAAAGATGAATGTATTCTTTTCTGCCAGGTCAGTGCTTCCTAACACAATTTCACTGTTTTCCTGTGGGCTACTCACTGTAGTGGTTGCACCACCTCATTCTGGTTTAAAAGATTTTCATATTTTATCAAGAGGTTTGGGTAAGGACAGGCTAGTTCATATTGTGTTTCTCTCTACCTATAAAACATTAACTTAATCCCATTTTAATAATGCAAAATATTATTTTTGGTATAGACGTATGAAGACAGGTATTTATGATGCACATTTTTCCACAGAGTCATCTCAAATACTGAGCTTAGTTTGGATTTTGGAAAACTGTGGCTGGATGACATCCAAGTTTTCTTTTATCTGTCTCAGAAACTGCACCTAGAGGAGTGCAGGGCTCTGAAGAACATTTCAGGATCCAGTCCATTTGTCTAGCTAACAGGTAGCCTTCTGAAGTTTAATGTGCTATGCAGTTCTCATTAGAGCAGGTTCAGTCCCTCGGCAGCCACATTATCAGGCACCGTTTTCTGGAACAGGGGAAAAAAGCAGCTGCTGGGAGGAGAAGGAAGAGAAGATATGTCTCTAGCCATCTTCCTCCTCTTTCCAAAGAGGAAAAAAGACCCCCAGGAAGGGTGAGAACAGGCCCAAACAGGAAAGGGATGAGGATGGAAGTGAATAGGCAGAGTTGTGTCTGCACAAGACAAGATAAAGTTTACAGGAGCATCTTTAAAAAAATTTTTTTTTTTTTAATCAACACAGCCTGATACTTCTGTCCTCCATCCCAACCCATTTTAGTTCTATAGAATAATTGCCAAGTTTTCAGCGGCTGGATTTCCTTTATTTCATCCTAACTGGTGGTAAGAGACAGCAAAAGCTACAGCAACAGTAAATTCTGTCATCTCATGAACAAAACCAGTAGGCATCTGCCAGAGAAATACATCTGGACTGAAATTATTTGCCCTGAAGCCTGGAGTTGAATTAAATTATTCTGGGTAAGAAGGGACTAGTCTGTCCCAAACAAGGAGTATGTAGTGCCAAGACACACTGAGTTAACTTTACTGGTGCAGCCTTGGGAAGGGAGTTAACAAGAAAGGAGCAATAGAGAGGCCCTACATACCCGCACAATATTAGTGGAAACCAGCTGGGGGCTGCTTTTGCAGTAATCTATGAGGAGCACCGCTCCCTCCATCCGTCTCTGAAACTCCTTGGCTCTCAGGAGCTTGTAAAGCTCATTGAGCTGTTCAGTTTGTTCCCCAGTCTGAAGCGATGTGCGACGGACTGTCTGACGGGGTAAGCTGAGTGCATCACAGCCAGACCTCAAACTGTAAAACAAAAACAAGATAAGTCCTTTTGGTGGTAATATCTTCAGTTAATGGTGAGGAAAACATCTCAAGGAGACTTCTTAATGATGTGATTTCAGCTAGATCCTGATCTGAAAAGCAACTTGGATCTCATGACAATCATTCGAGGAGGCAATCTGCAAGTAACATTATCACTAGTGCTGACTCAGAAAAAACAAGGCACAGAGGATGGGATTCATCTCATTTATCTTCAGGTGCCTTCCCAGGTACTCATCTAGCATCCCTTTGTGGGGAAAAATAGGCATTACTTCAAAGTTTAAATGCCTCATCTTATGGGAGGTGTCTATTATAAGAGGTATTATAAGGAAATTAATTACTCTGGAGAAGTCTCTCTACAACAGGTATGGGAATCTAGATAAACAGCTCAGATGCATCTGAACAGATTAATCTTACCCAGAGTCTGAAGGGCATATCTGAAAGGATTCAGAGGATCAGTAAGAGAGTGTGCTGGTTTTGGCTGGGGTAGAGTTAATTTTCATCACAGTAGCTAGTGTGGGGCTGTGTTCTGGATGTGTGCTGAAAACAGTGTTGATGACCCAGAGGTGTTTTCGTTACTGCTGAGCAGTGCTTGCACAGAGCCAAGGCCTCTTCTGCCCCTCACCCCACCCCACCAGCCACCAGGCTGGGGGGCACAAGGATCTGGGGGGGCACACAGCCGGGACAGCTGACCCCAACTGACCCCAGGGACACTCCAGGCCCTGTGGGGTCATGCTCAGCATGCAAAGCCGGGGAAGAAGGAGGAAGGGGGGGATGTTCGGAGTGACGGCGTTTGTCTGCCCAAGTCACCGTTATGTGTGAGGGAGCCCGGCTCTCCTGGGGACGGCTGAGCCCCTGCCTGCCCAGGGGAGGTGGTGAACGAATCCCTGGGTTTGCTTTGCTTGTGCACACAGCTTTTGCTTTACCTGTTAAACTGTCTCTATCTCAATCCACGAGTTTTCTCACTTTTACTCTTCTGATTCTCTCCCCGTGCAGGGGGAGTAGGCAAGCGGCTGTGTGGGACTCGGTTGCTGGCTGGGGTTAAACCATGACACAGAGATAAAAATAGAAGCCAGACATCCCACCACTTTGCTCACATTATTGCTTCCCTAGGGACTGGATCCACAGCTTAACAAACCCAATGGGAACAATTCTCTTGGGTCAACATTTCTCTCCCAGGAGCATGGAAAGATCACAACTATGCTAGTGAGGCGTGCGGTCACCTTCCTGCCACCACTGAGCACAACAGATCTAAATAAATCCACTCTGTTACCAGATGAGAACAGGTACAAGTAGATCTCCTGTTGGCATGTGGAGACAGCAAGGACCAAATTCCTATCTTGAATGCTGACTGCAGCACAGGGGAGAAAAACATACTGTCCACCAACCAACCAGTAATAGGTCTGAATGACACGAATAGCTACAGAAAAAGTCCACATTGAGCTGTCTGTTGACCAGAACTGCTCAGGAATTGTCTGGTATTGTTTGAGGGTCAGAAAGCCATGATTCAGCCAGGCCAAGTCACATGCATGGGGAGTGCTATTTTTGGGAATGGCATCTTGGTTCTAGACTGGGACTTCTCATCAAACCACCTGTCTAAAAAAGACTCCAGTCAGATAAGAATACCCTGATTAAAATTACTTGTTCCAAGTCAAACAGTAGAGACATGACCCTCTCACAGCCTCCACAACACTGTCCTCATCACTGCACTGGACCTTCTGAGCTGCAACTGGTGGCTGTCTCTTCCTCTCTCTCAATTTTTTGTGGAAAACCAGATAATTTGTGTTCAGCCTAATGCAGAAGGTTTTTTATCATGGAAGATTAGTAGGGCAATGTCGTGGTTTAGCCCTGGTTGGTAGCCAACCACAATGCAGCAGCTCTCTCTCCCTTCCCCTCTGGCAATGAGAAGGGACAGAGAGCCAGGCTTGGGGTTCGAGATAGGACTGGGATGAGGAAAAATTTCCCCTTTATGATCACGAGCAAGAGGCAGACTTGTTAGGGAAAGGAAAAAAAGAACATACATTTACTACAGACACTAACAACACATAACAGAGTAGGACAGTGAGAAGCATTGCCACATCTTGAGAACACCTTCCCCCACCCCTCCCTTCTTCCCAGGCTCAGTTCTGCTCCCAATTGCTCCCGATATCTCTACCTCCTCCCCCCAGTGGTGCAGGGGCAGGGAATGGGGGGTGCAGTCAGCGCTGCCACTTTCTTCATCTTTGGTGAGGGGAGTGTCCGGAACTTGTTCCTCCTGCTCCATCGTGGTCCCCCTCTCACAGGAGACAGTCCTCCACAAACTTTCTCCAACATGAGTCCCTCCCATGGGCCGCAGCATTCCCCACACTGCTCCATCATGGGTCACTAACTTCCTCCAACTGGATTCCCTCCCATGGCTGCAGCCCTTCCCGAGCTGCTCCAGCGTGGGACTCCCCTGCATGCTGCAATCCTCCCAGCACTGAATTACAGCAGCGGGACTACCTTTCCCACGAGACCCCAGCCTTCTTTGGGCACAGCACCTTGATCATGCAAGCAGGAGCCACAGGCCATAAATCAATGTCTGCTCCACCGTAGATCTTCATGGGTGGCAGGGGGGGTCGCCCTGCCATCTCACCACAGGATACAGGGGGGTCTCTGCTCTGGCACACCTCCCCCCTCCTTTCTTCCTCCGTTCCTCCACTGACCTTGGTGTTCACGCAGCTGCAGCAACTCCTCCTCACAAGTCCCACTGTATGTCACCACATCCCTTCTTAAATACGTTATCACAGAGGCGCAGCTGATGGGCTCAGTTTTCAAACAGAAGTGGAGCTGACTTGGAGCTGGGGGAGCTTCGAGAAGCTTCTCACAGGGGGCTGCCCCGATAGCTCCCTCCCCTGCCACCAAAAAACTCCACCACTCACTCAACCCAGGACAGGCAAGGAGGCAATCTCTGGTACAGCTCATCTCCACCAGAAAGATTTTAACGAGGAAGAGATATGTAAATCTTGTCATGTGCTTTGTCAGATATAACATAAGTGCTCAGTACCGTCCATCAGAAGACAAACTGTCCTGGGGCATCCTCAAACCACTCTTCTTAGACTTCCTGGAGTCCTTATCAGACGAAGGTTCACATTTATGGTCTTCTATCCCCTACATATATATAAAAAAACATGAATCTATAGAAGATAAAATAGGAAATGACTTATTTAAAACACAAGTTATAACCAGGATCACTGTTATCAAGAAAGGCTTAGGAAAACATTTCATAACTTAGAGAGGGAGACAGGCCAGAAATTCAGTGATGTCTACTATTTGTTTTCAATAACCCAAGGCTTTGGTGCTACCATAATGGGCAGCAGTATAAAACCCTGAATTCATTAGTCTTGAGCACAAATGGGAATAATCCAAACTGGTAGGGAACAGGCCTTTCTAAAGAGAACAACGAGAAACTATTGGACTCTCTGGGGGTTGGCACATTGTGCTGAGAGTTGATTTGGTTCACACTCACTCTTCTTATTCCTGCATAAAGGCACGTTCCTTTCTAGAATGTAAATGGAGAGGAATGGAGAAAAAAAAAAAAAAAAAAGGATGATTTTCCACTGGATGCTGAATTCACAAAGCTTCTTCCAGCTCCACAGTGCATGACAGCAGGGCAGTATTCCCAGAATACAGACAATATATGTACTGATTATGATTGCCTTGTGCATCTTTTGTATATTTGGAAATTTTCTTGGCACTACTGCTTCTTTGTCCATTGCAAAGACTCTATTATCTTTAGAAGCACTATTCTCATTTCATTGCTTTATTGGGGTGGGAGGGAGTGTAGTGTTGTGGTTTTTATGCTTGAAAGTAAAACCATTTTCTCCTACTTCTCTCTCCTGTTTGTGGCTGATATTCAAAATACACCCACTTTATTTCTTACAATAGTAGTTCCTTCACTGCCTGCAGATAAAGAGGCTGAGGATCAACAGTTCATTCCCAGGAGCAAAATGATTCAGTGGAAGAAGAGTGAGATAAAGAAAGATTAGGTATGTTTCATCTCATATTAGCAATGTCAATACTTGCATATAGGAGACATTTGTCTTGCCAAGCACTTACTTTCTGCTTAAGTGTTGCCATAATATCTTCCAAGTCACGTGAGGGTGCAGACTGTTTCAAATACCTTTCAAATTTTTGATGATTCATCAATATATTCAGCATCTTCCGTCCATAACACCTAACACAGGAAAGAGAGAAATTAATACAGACTACTACTGTCTTTTCTCCCTTGTGAATAAATAAAAGTGTTAATAGAATAAGCAGATATTTTAAACTCATCACCTGCAATAACTTCATGAGAAGGTATTACCTATTCAGCCAAGAGAGAGATTTGTCTCCCCTTGTAGTCACTGCACAATGCTTCCAGCTGAATATAAGAGGCAAGAGGAGAACACAAGGTAACAGGAAAATGCAATTTCACATTGAAATTGTGGGTAGACTTCTGTGGGATCAAAGGTTCCCATGGGACAAGCAAAGTGCATCTCCTGCTTTGCTGCCATGGCTTATTTGCAGTGTCTTGCTGCCATTACACAGTAATTTAGCTTCCTTTAACTGGCAGAAAAGCTAGGACAAATCACCTCATGCTTACTATTCATTACTCTATGCTATATGTATGCACACATGAGCTAGCTCATGTGTTCTTGCCATCTATTAATGGGAATTTAAATTAATCAAAGTAAGGGGTTTTTGGTGGTTTGGTTTGGTTTTGCTACTATGAAACTACGGCTATTTTAAAGAGGATATTTGGAGGTTGTTCAGCCACAGACAACATTATACAACAATTGTGAAGAAAAATTTATGACTATCATAGGCAACTAAAGCCACAGAGGAGGTCTAGAAAGACTGAATACATTGGCTAAAGACAGCTGGAATTTTTTAGGACAGTCTTAACCTTATCAGAAATAAATGCTTGGGATCCTTCAGCGGTGAACAGTGGGCAGTGTTTCAGCTTTGCACTGTACACATAAGACTAAGCAAAATTGTTTGACTGACTAACCTGAGCTTAACTGATCTGAATAAAGAATCATTTAAGTCACAGGAATTCTTGCTGTACAGCCTCATGTTACCTAGTAGAGTCACTTCCCTAGACAATGTTATCCACACTGTGAAGTCACTTTCTTAATATTTACATTACCTTCTGGTTTTATCATTTATAGCCAGATATCAAACAGTTTTCGTATCTTAGGTGGTGAAATGAAGGTCATCACCTTGTGTCCTGATGACAGTCCTGAGCAAGCTTCACCACTATGCGCACCAGCAGCTCGGTACTGTCACGAGTGCCCGACAGGAGCTTCTCGGCTCCGATTTGCTCAATCGTGGTCAGTAGGTGTTTGGCCGCACACTTCCTCACCAGGACGTTGCGGTGCCTGAAAACAGGAGAACAGACACTGGGGCAGAGGAAAAAGGAGGGCCAGAAACACAGGCCTCGGTCATAGCGTGTTGCCTGTCATTGCTGGGGGAAGGAGGCTTGTGTTCTCCCTGCAATTTTAGCCACCTGCAGAAGATTCCGTCCTCAGATAAATACAAAGTTGGCACTGTTCAGAGGGACAACCTGCAAGGAAGTGGGAGGAATTCAGTGTCCCTGGACTATCAGAAACTCAAATTTCTTTCCCAAAATCAGCTCCGAGGAAGAGGTAAATGAAAGACAATTCATGCTGACTCATCAGAGGGCTCCCACTACACAGAGCTGTGGCAGGATTGAAGCTTATTCCACTTGTTTATCTCCAAATCTGTATATGCTTGGGAAAAAAAAAAAATAGGAGGAGAAAACCCTGTGGGGCATGAAGCTGCAGAATATTCAGTAATGCAGCCAGTTTGTTCTTTGAGGTTTGGCAAGAGGTACATTTGAATGTTTTACCCTTTCCAAAAGCTGAGAAAATAATAGCAGTCATTTTAGCCAGGTTGTCCTTTCTAGAGGGTGCCTATTGGAAACTACCAGTCATAGCTCTAATATTTTAAGGCAGCATTTGCTTCAGCTATCCCATGGGAGTCAGCCTGTGAAGGCGCCTGTAAAGTGACTCACCATCTCAAGACTAACATGCAGCGTCAATTTGAATAGAAAGTGGAGCTCTGAGGAGACGACAGTCAGACAGACTTCTCAGCAGGAGCTGAGCAGGCTGTGCCGCACCCAGCAGGTTCTCCCTGACATGCTCCATGTCTCAGCAATTAGCCTCCTTATTTCTCAAGTTAATAGCATAATGATGATGCATGAGTTTTCCCAGCCCCTCTGTGGTTAGCGTTGTGAAATATCAAAGGGCGCTCACTGCTGGAATTGCCATTGTCCCTCTTCCCACAAAGCCACAAGGCTATGTCACCACCCTTTGCCGGGACTTTCACTTCCCCATCATTCACCACGTCTAGACAGTGTTGACTGTGAGAATAAACAGGCTGTAGTAGGACGGAAGGAGATGACAAGAGGAAGCAACAAGGTTGATCAGAGGATCTAATCACCGAGTTCACAGAAGATGCAGGAGAAAGAACCCTTCGCTCCTATCGTTTCCCTTCTGCCTCCCATGCCTTCCCCCTACCCACACAATTTAAGGTGAAGGATATCACTAAGAACAACTTACTGGACTCCACTAGCTATGAGAGCAGTCATTGCTCGGGCAGGAGTCACATTCTCCACCATGATCTCCAGGGATCGATTGGATGCTTTCTGAATGAACTTGCTGGAGTCCCCCATCCTCTGGAGCAAGACCCGAACAATCTCATCCACTTCATGGTCCATGTGCTTCTTCATGGTCCTGAAGAGCTCTCCAAGAGTGACGATTGCCAAGTAAGATACCTTCGAGCGGAGGTTATTCACCTGGGGGTAGTCATGAAGGGAAAGGTAAGAATCACCTTGTAAAGAAAATAAGTTCCACTAGACAAAAGTCCCAGGAAGCAGCAAGAATTCTCTCTGTGTCCAGGTGGAACATATGAGGAGAAGACCACAAGCACAGAAGCACACTCTGATACCAACTTTTTCTCTGGCCTTGGGCCTGCTTATAAAATACAATTTTAATGAGACTGCAGGCCTAAAAAATATTGTTTCACCTAGAACAAAGTGTGCTACTTAGCCCATAAGGTATACTGCTTTGATTTTAGGCCCTTTTGTTGAAAACTAACATACAAAAAAAAAAAAAAATAAAGCAAAGGCTGCTTTTAAACTAAAAAGGCACAATTCATAAAGACAAGATAGAAGAAAAGTAGTACTTTTCTCCTGTCCAAAAATGCAGCACTGGCAGTTTGAGCACTCAACGAGGAAATAGAAAATATGGGCTCAAGTCTACAGACTGATTCACAGCAGGGACTTGAGTCCATCTGTGGCTCCATCTGCTCAGGAGAACCCCAGCTGTTGGGCTCAAGGCACTCAAGGATCGTGGAAATCACACACAATTACAGCTACAATCAGTGGGGTTTTACAGCATTCAGTGCAGCTCTGGAGTGATCCCTGCTTCCAAAAGGCTCTTCCCACAAGGGTAAGGAAGAAGCATCTAAGTGTCATGTGTTTCATTTGAAAAATATTTTGAAGGACAGACCAGGGGTTGTTGCTGCCAGACTTAGTTGGGCCTGTTAATAAAAATGAACAACACAAGTGCTAGAAAGTGCATGTGAAAGCAGAATCTGGGACTGGAGTGAAATGAAAGCTGAAAGACGTCTCTGCACATCAATGTAGAACAGAGAGGAGGAAATTTCCTCAGAAATATAAAAGGGATATAAAAATCAGATGAGCTAAGATGAAGGGGCTTCTTCTCTTAACCCTTATGTCAGAGTGGGAGAATCTGAGTCCTGCATATCCAAACAGAAATGTTTGAAGAGTCCAACAACACAAGGGGCATTCAAGCCTCCAACATCATTAAAAAATGGATAGAAGGACTGATTTTCATAGAAATAAGCTAAGTCTTACTGTCTTCTGCAAGCAAAGGAAAACTTAATATATTTGACAATTATGTAGTAAGAGTACAAGGCAGCTGGCCCAGGACACAGACAAGTGCCAAGTTGGAAATATAGCCACAGATGCTAGTAATGAGCTTAGGCTGAGACCTCTCTAATAACTGAGAGCTGAGATAGCAAAGCTGTGCGTGCCTGCCCTGCAAACCCACAGACAGGCCACTCCAAGCACCCACTGGCTGCAGTCCAAAATTCCACTGGTGCAGGGAGGCAACAGGTCAATGGAAAGGGCAAATTACCAAAAAGCACACAGAAAGGAACAAGGAGAAGATATCAGGAAACACTAGAAAATAAGTACCTGCAGTCAATCCCCCAGGGTGCTGAGGAGGAGGAGGAAGTGGGAGGAAGCTGGGAGGCAAAAGCTGCAGCATTTAATTACCACTTGGGCAGAGATCTGGGTGTTGCAAAACACCTGGTTAGTGTCTCAGTTTCTGCATTTGTATATTGCATTATAATGACACTTAGCTCAAAGAGGAGACAGATAGATGCCCTACATACCAATAAATACAGCTGTATGTACAGACAGGTCCTAGAGATAGGTGACATAGCTATTAGAAAAATGAGATCTAAAAATAGTAATGAAGGCAGACACTGAGCACACATGAACATGAACAAGCACGTATCTACTCTGCACCCCATGGACAAGGTACACGAGACACAATTAAACACAATGTTCTTACCTCTTTGATAATTGCCAAGGAAAAATCATGAAGTGTATGAAGAAGGACTTCTGAGTGGCAGATAGCCAGGCATCTGACGCTGAAGAGTCCCCTTGCCTTCTGCTGCCTGAAAGGTAATTACCAAAAAGATTGATTTTTCTCACCACCTAAGAACGAGGCAGCACCCTCTGAAATTACCAGCATGTCAGCTCAAACAAAAAAAGGGAGGTGCTTCTCATACAGCACTTAATTAAATTATGGAGCTCATTGCCACAGGATGCTATGGCAGTCAAGAGCATACATAAATCCAAAACGCAAATAGATGGTTTGCGAGAGGATGGGTTAATTTGTGGCCACTAAACAAGACAGCCTTTCTGAAATCCCTGGCACATGAAGTCCCTATGTCACTGCTTCCTAGAAGCTGGGAGGCTGTGGCATGTTTCTGCTTCTTGCACTCTCCCTGTACCCGAGATAGACCCATCTGGCTGTTTCTGGGGCACTTTCCCTCTCTGCCATCCCTAGAGGGCAGTTCATGAGAGAGAGTCTGCACCGCTGTTCCATAGCTGAGTTTGCATTCTGCAATGTAGTCCACAGCCCCCACCCACCCCCCCCCAAAAAAGGCACTATGTCCTAAAAGATGCCACACCTGGGCAAGAACAGCTGAAATGCTTGATTTTCCCTGCTTAAAATAACACCGACGACAGAAACATGTTAGTTAAATGTACAAAAAATCTACCTCATTTGGCACGTTCTTTGTGAAGGACCTGAGCTACATGAAGGCACATGATGGTTCACCAAGGCTGCAAGGCCCAACTGGGGACCTGTCCCCACTGGGGTCCCTGAGTGTAACCCTGACCCCCCGCACCTGCAGCAGCTCTCTGCACCTCACGGGGCAACAAACAGGAATGGGAAGAGAAAGGGGAGAGGGACGAAACAAGGTGATTGTACAAGGAAAGGCATCATGGAAGATTGTTCATGGTTATCCCTGTGTGAACGGAGACACAGTGAGTGGATGCGGACCCAGAAACCAAAAAGGCAACCAATAACACCTGAAATTTGTAGAGTCTCTCTGTGCCTAATTTCAGGAGGCACTGTGATCATGCACAAAACATCTTTGGCCCACATTAAGCAGTGAGAAGGAAAAAGTTGGCTTCTAAAAGTGCAAGATTCTGAAAGGTTTTTGGTTTTGTTTTTTTTTTTCCTTTTCCTTGTCTTCTGCCATGAGGCCTCCAGGAGAAATTACAGCTGAGAAACTCTGCACCATGTCTCACTCCATTCCTCAGAAATAGGAACTCCCTGTAGGCACTCCTGGGACTCACAAGCAGGAGGTCACAGGAGGCCCCGTCTCCTTCTACTGCTGCCAGCAGTGGGACCAGAGATAAATCCTTACTCAGTCCCACCTGGGCCAGTGGCCTGAGGCCCCCAAAACTCTAAACTCAAGACCACTTCTGTCCTGATCCTGGATTTAGCCAGCAAATCATCTTGTTCCACAACTTTCTCTCCTCCCTGAATATTTCATGGACCAGAAGGCAAAACTAGGAAACAGCATGGACCTGTCGTGGCTGTAGTACTGTTACGGACCGAGGCAAATAAAAGGCAGCTCTCACATCTTTATCCTGTGATTGCTTTGGAGTAGTTTCACTAGTTCCCTTTGCACATCTGGGCTGTCTGGGCTCTGAAGCACTAGGGAAAAAACCTTTCTAACTTACCTTTACACTGAGAGGGAGAAAGAGTGAACAGGGGTCTGTCTTACCAGTCGTCACTGCTGAGCCATGTGAGTGCATTGAGCAGCCCCTGCTGTGGGTTAGGGAAGGGTCTGGCTTCCCAGGCGCCCCCATTCTCCAGCTCCTCTCCCCAGTCCAGGAAGTCCAGAGAAATGGCCGGCAGCGAGTTCACTGTAAGGAGAGGGTCAGACACCAGCATCACATACCCTGAAGGCAGGGCACCCTGCCACTGAGCAGACTGCAACCCAGTCTCCCAGCCAAGAGTACGTATGGGTGCAGACTGGCATTGGTTTAGAGACCTCTCTGCTGTCTGGCTCATTGCTTTCCCCAGCACCCAACCATCTCCCAGTCACCCCCAGCTGGGCACCAGCTCCTTGTGTAAACCTGAAAATCGCACGCAGAGAGCCAGCTCCCAAGTCCATATAGGTACCACAGCCAGCTTGCAGATTCATAGTGCCACAGAACTCACACCCACTGGGAGCCAGTGCTGCCCAGTGAGACTTGCTACCCCAGGAGTAAGCTCCTGAGGTGTGCACACCCCTCCCCGCATCACCTCCCTGTTACCTGGAGCACTGGGGACAGAGGCACCCTGTAACTTTCTGAGGAAACACCCTCAGCTGCCCCCAGCGAGCACTAAGCCTGAACTGCCAAGTCCTGATGGGCTCAGACAAATCCCCAAGGGGCAACCACCAGGGAACAGTGATACCTGACCTTCTAAATCTGACAGTGCCTCTGCTTCCATTTACTTCAAATATTCTAGACAGCAGGCAGCTGAGTGTGCCTACATTTTAGCATACTATTGGGATAGTAGTAGTTTATGGATTTTGCTATTTTCCAAGCGCTATGAATATTTACTATTTCAGAGGTACCCAATGGCTGTATTTCGAAGATGCTGAGGTGAAATTTATTTGTTATCAAATGTACTTGTTTGCAAACTGTGCAATGCCTAAGCTTTCTCTTGTGGAAAAATGCAATTTCTAGCCTAGATAGTTGTGACAAAAAGCCTTCCAAATGTGAACTGAGAATAAAAATATGTAAATATAAATGCAAATCGTTGACAAACATACTCTCTTGATGATAAATATACAAGGTATAGGAAAATTCAGATGACAAATGCATTTGTTATGAAACCTATTTGTCATCAGAAGCACCATAGGTCAAAAATTTCATGTCTTGCACTCAAAAGCACATTTTCTAAAGTGTAAATGAAAACACCTGAGCTGTGTAAAAGTATTGAGTATAAATATTGCACAGAATCTAGATGAACTGCTATGGACTCTGTAGGGTTTTTATGCTACCTTGCATGTTCTACAAAGTATGGAGGATGGAGAAACTGTAAAATCAAAAATATTCAGATGGGAACTAATTTCGATGTCACCGATATTGCTGTCAATTACATCAGTGATGTCACTGCACAGGTATGTAGATATACACAACTACATTCAATATGAATGGAGAGCCATGTCAGGCTAGTTCTGGTCAATTTTGAAAATCAGAGTAGCATCACTAGAAAAGAACATTCAAAGTATTATTTCTAGCTCCCTTTTTCTTAACTCACTCTACTCGGGATCATAACATGAGGTAGGCTACCCACAAAGGAGAGACAAGAATCACTATTGTCTCACTCTCTGCTGCATATTTGTTGCAGGTAGCAAGCAGGCTGGGAGCACCAGGCTACCTCTCCTGTACGTCGCCTGCTACACAGCCACCATATTTGGGTGGGGGGACAGAAGAGACACTGCTTCTTCCCAGCTTGCGTTGCAGGCAGTGGGATGAGAGGCTAGAAGCCATTTAAGCACTTGTAGGTGCAACGGCAGGATTGTACCAAGTCACTAATTCCTGTGCAGAGACAACCCTTGATGCTATAGCAGAAACACTGGCTGGAGACCCAGACATCAGCATAAGCAGAGGGCCAAGACAGTGAGTGGCTAATTGATCAGTGGTACACATATGGGCAGAGTGATCTGCACAGCCAGGCTGCACCAGAGATCAGCCCTGCAGTGACAGATATTTTGGACTATCGGTATGGGCGAAAGCTAGAGCTTAAGGCTATCCCACTACTTTATTCAGCTAAAATTCCCAACGGATCTTTAAGCACCAACCGCTCCAGTACCACCAAGCTGGAGTGGATCCAAAGCAGGTTTGCTGTCAATCCTCAGAACAGGCTTTGGACCCAAGGTCCTACCTGTGGTTGAGGAATGAGGCAGTTTGTGCACCTTGTCCAAGGAAAGAGGGGTGGGGTGTGGGGGCTGCAGCGGAGCGGGCTCACCTGAGGATTTGCGTGGGAAGCTGCCACCCTGGCTGACGACGGGGATGCTGGGCAGTGAGGGCCTGTTGTCCCGCTTCCTCAAGGCAGTACCAGTGCTCTCTCTGTGTGCACTGCTCATGCTGGGGGAAACGGACTCTGTCCCATTGACAGGTGGTAGGCCAAAGCCTGCAGAGACCAAAAAGGACCTTGTAAATTGGAGAGTGGTCTTGGAAAGGGCTATAAATCTTGCTGGAGCTGGGAAACATCCCTTTGTTGTCCCAAACAACTCCAAGCATAACAGTTGCACACTAATGTGGAACAGTGATCAGAGTCATAGAATGGTTTGGGTTGGAAGGGACCTTTAAAGGTCATCTAGTCCAACCCCCCTGCAATGAGCAGGGACTTCTACAACTAGACCAGGTTGCTCACAGCCCCATCCAACCTGGCCTTGAACGCTTCCAGGGAGGGAGCATCGGCAACTTCTCTGGGCAACCTGTGCCAGTGTTTCACCTCCCTTACTGCAAAAAACTTCTTCCTTATATCTAGTCTAAGTCTGTCCTCATTTAGTTTAAAATTGAATGCAGTGATGCTTTCCCGAAGAAATGAGGAAAACAGTACTGCTTTTCTTTTGCTTTCCTGTTTCAGCAACCAACCAGATAGGGAAGTTACATTCCTGGGGCTCCCACCTCAGCACTCCTCACCAGTACTTCACAAAATAATAGCAAGAGCAGATAACCTTGTCCAATGCCTTTGGGCTGTTTGCTGATTCATAAGGTCCCTGCTGCTGCTCTCGTGGTGGGGTGTGCAGCAGTACAATCAGAGCCCGTCAGCTGCAACAAAGTCAGTAACGCTGCTTGCTTGTGTGGGTAAAACATAAGCACTGGCTAAGGGCTGCAGCACGGCTCAGCAATGGGAGCTCCTCAGCAAGAAGTGGTATGAGCAGTTTAATTTGTCCTATCACGTGAGCAAGATCTTCTGTGATTTAATTAAAATCATTTAATTTTGGTTTTTGCACCTTGGTGTGCACCTTGGTTGAAGAGCATTCCTCTGAACCCACCCAACCACCTTTCCTGGAGGTTGCTCTCATTTAGAGAGTCTGAAGCCTCAAAGCAGTTTGCAAGACAGAATTACCAAGTCTGAAACACTTTATAGGAGACAGGGGGAAGGTGGTATTCTGTGATTCCCTCAGCGTGGGCCATGGACTAGACATTTCATAGCTCTCTATTTTAATTTGGAAAATGGTAATAAATGCTATTCTAACTTCCACTCAGATGCAACAATTTCATAGACATTTGCAACACTATGCAAATAGCAAGCAAGTGAACAACAAGGCCTATGACTATAGTAATCACTTACTTTCTTCAGCTGCATCCCCAGGGTCAACACTCCGTGTAGGGAGCTGCAAAGACTTTTCAATCTCTTTCTCCCTCTCTCTATGCAAAAGCTGCATTTCTCTCAGTCGCTTCTCGTCTATTTTATTTTGAGCTGACTTGGACAAGACAACATGGATCTAGTTGCAATGGAAATAAATGATGGAGCATAAAGAGAGATACACGAACCATATACAAAACCTTATCAGGAACACAGTGGTAAAGTGTCATAGTCCTTAATGCGGCTCCATATACATCCCACTAGTTCCAGAAGAATTCCTCCTTTCCTAACCTTGGCATACAGTTACATCCAGTGATGTATAACACTTCATTGCCATACCCTTCCACTGGTCCAAGATGCTGTTTCTCAATCTATGTCAGGAAGCCCTGCTTGAACCAAGAGAGTCACAGGAGTGCTCTAAGACATATGAAGGGCTCACATTACCAGTGAACAGGCAGTTCAGTTCCTACAGGCCAGGGCGAGGGAATAAAAACCATCTGCAATAACCAGCAATGAGAGGTAATTTGCTGTTTCTTAACGCTCATAGCCAGTAATTGCAGCTGCTTCTCACTTCCTTGCTTCTGAAGTACTCAGCTGCTCTCCGAGAACATGAGTTCAAAAAAAGGAGTCATGTGAAAACAAGCTGGAGAAACATTGGTCTTAACGAATAGAAAAATTGACAATGAGAGGGCTGTGATATACATTAAGAAGGGTAACCAAGGAAAAGCAAGGTCTTTCATTTTAGTTTGCAGCCTTGCTAACACTCAACATTGTACTCAACTTTGCTTCTTTGCTTCTGAGCATGCACTTTGTACATGTTCACTGATGCGTAACTTGTTCTGCCATACAGATCTGCTCTAAGCTTGCCTTCATACATAAAGAATACTTCTTGTGTAACCTTAGCACCATCTCCCAACCAGTGACTTCTGCACCAGTGAAAATACTCAAGCAATTTCTCTGTATGTGTACAATGTATTCCCAAGAGAATCTGCTCCCCAAGAGAAGAAGATAATGATTTTCAGTGACATTTTATGCTAAGCACTGAACAGTCGCTGAAAAGGAAGCCTGCTCACCCCTGTCCTTAGCCCTTACCTTTCCACTGTTGTACTTCAAGTCGTTGTCACTCAGAAAGGGAGGGCTCGTCAGACCATCCATCCCCTTGGCCTGGTTGAGTGGGAGGCCTTTTAATGGGGGCACAGGTTCACATAAATGTCCAGCAGACTTCACATTACCATCAACATGATGCTGGAGAACAGGCAAGATGGGTTCCAGAGTCTGGAGCTCTGGTAAGACAAGGGTGTAGATTGTGTATGAGAACAGGAAGGTACATATAACCTCTCCAAACAGATGGGGTACTACCATATTGTGCTGGCAGCAGAAATAACATTACTGTGTTGGCCATTGGATTCAAACCTACTTCATGATAGAGGCCTTGGTCCTTGGCTTCTGATGAGCAGCTGTGCTTTATAGAGAAGAGCAGAGAGATGGAGATTGCCCTTGCCAAAAAGGTTCTTATCTGTTCCTATCCACTTTGATTTTAGTAAACATCCTCCTTTTTTCCAGTTACTAAAAGAACTCCTGTTTTTTAATAGCTATATGTCTTTGTAGAGGTAAGAATCGACATTTCCTCCTCTTTGCTGGAATATTTTAGAGGGCATTTAAAAAAGCTTAGGATTCCTAGAGCGCTACCAAAACCAGAATTGTATTCTTAAAGCTAGAGAATTCATCTTCCCCAAGGAGTTTCATTCTCAATTGTAGCAGATCAGCCCATTTTCTGGGCAGCCTGACTAAAGGCTGATTTTCTTAATGGGAATAGCATGGTGCTGGTCATTCTGAAATACTTTCCAACACTGCTGTTAAAACTCAGAGAAACTAATCACTCCTTACGTGGCTACACAGTTGATAAAATCATGCGATAGTCAAGCAATAAAAAAGGAATAACTTTCTTAAATCAGGATTTTTTTCCCTGCAGAATGGTCAGGCCAATAATAGAGAGAGAGATGGTTTAACAATATAGCTCATTTCTGGTCCAGAATGCAACCAGCAAAAATGTCACCTTACTTACTCAGCAATATTTCTCCCTAGTTGCACTCAGCATCCTAGCTGCATACCAGCAATAAAGGAATCATTCCTATGGGGCATGCACATTATTTGGCAGAACGAACGCTGAGCTGAGAAACCAGTGGATCTTATCCCTTTTTCTGCATCAGCAAAATTATTCGTTAAATTCTCATCTCTCCTATCGTCACAAACCCACAGGTGGCAAAGGGACAGCAACAGTGTCACTGAGGTTGTCAGCTTAGAAGTATTGGCTGACACAGATGCACTAGACACTGCATTTTGTCTTGTAGAACTCTTATTGCTAGCGATAATGCAAGGCGAAGAGTGCAGAGAAGCCAGTGAGCACCTATTACCCCAGCCTCAGTTTGCAATACTGACATATGCAGATAGAGTAGGGGAAGCGATCTGTAATCATAAACCCAGCATATGTGGTTTAAGGCAAATGAGTTGCACAAAGGAAACCTCAATCCATTACTCAGTATTTAATATAGGCTGTGCTTTAAGAGGGTGGAAAGCTCAGATCCTGCATAGGCTGGATCTTTTTTAAGTCTCTTTCTCTGTAAATGGAAAATTCACAAGGACTTCCTATCAGACAAGGTTTTACTATTTCTCTCGGTGCAAAAATGAGCAATGTTGATGAATCTATTTCAGATTTCAAAGGGTTTGGTTCAGAAACTGCTCCAAGGGAAGGTTCAAGTGTAGGAGGAAGCAGTGGGAACATTTCTCATTTCATGTGAAATGCCTTATTTTTCTCTAATCTTTGTGACATTAGAGACCGTGCAGGGAGATAAAAGGTATAAGCATGAAGTCGTAGAACATTTCCTTTTCCTGCTGTGCATTTTCAGGGCCCCGAGGTACCCCTCCAGCTCCTGTCATTCATAACTCCATGCTGGATTGCCAGAGCACATTTTCCAGTGACTGGGCTCTGGGGGAGCCATCTGAGCACAACAAGGAATTGAAAAAAGTTACAGGATTGTTTTCAACTGAACTTTCACACTGCCACCCATGGGTCAGGATTCCTATGGTCATTTTAGGACAGCCATGCCCTGTACCTACCTAGAGATTTAAGGGTCTTCTCTTCAATTCTGCTGCCTGATCTTGGCCTTAAGAAAATTGAGGATAAAAGAATATATGAGGAGATTGAAAGAGAAGGGGGTGTAGCAGTAAAGGAGGCAAACTTTCTTAGCATGGTCATTCTGATGAAGAAGGAAATGCAACCCATAAAATCAACAATATGCAAAGCTGATTAATTGCCATTAATTTTTCAGTTGCTGGAGTCACACAGACCACATCAAGCTCTAGCTGAAACACAGGAGTCATTCTTCAGTTTGGGCCAATTCTGTCCAATTCTGCTATCTCTCCTTTTGGAGCTAAGTTGCTCTCACTGTTATATACAGCCTTTCTGAATCAGCAAGAGACATTAGGCCAGTCATAAGTCAGTATTGAGGGCAGCTGCCTTTACACCGCTGCAGAAGCCTAACTTTGCTTGGTCATGGCTCCAACTGATGACGGTATCTTGTTACACATGGTAATACCACTGCTGTCTCCTGAGAATAATATACCTCCCTGCTCTTCCAAGAAGAAAAAGGGTTTTTCCAACTCAGCTGGTAGGTAAGTATATTCAGATTGCACTTTAAAAGCCATGTTGAAGCTTTTAAATTGGAAATATATTTCGATGACTCCTTAATTATTGTTATAACTAGGATAAGGTTGACAGCTAGATTTCCCCACTCATATCCAAGCAAATCCTTCCATCAGTTGCAGCCCTATAACTGTTCTCTAGTACCTTGCCCCCTTTGATCTTAAAACCATATGTAAATATTAAACACCTATGGAATTATATATCTATAAACCAAGATTTATCTGGGCACTCATTTCACAGTGAAGGCCCAGATACAGAGAAGTTACAATTGACATTTACAGAAGCAGTGTCTGAATTTTCAGAGAGCTATACAATAGCCAATACTTGCCCTAACATATTCTTGCAGGTACAGGAATCAAAGATCATGTGCAAAACCAGATGCTGTATTCCGACCTGTGCAATCCAGTTCCAAAATGGCACCACAAAGTTTACAGAATAAATCAATATCAGAGTCCAGCAGAGGAGTTCTTAAGAGCTTTTAAGGTTCCTGCCTCCTCCTTCCACCACCCCATCCCTGCTCTTAGAGTGTATGGTGTTGGTTTTGATCATTGTGCTGGATCATTACAGACACACAAAATGGTGAATTCACAGAAGTTTGCATACATATATTGGAGAGCTGTCTGTGAAAAATAACCTCATGAGACAAGAAGTGTGAGCTGAACAGCACATTGGAGAAGCAGACATCTTGGCTTACCTCATCTCCAGGGCCTCTTGGAAAGCCTGGTGCAGAGATCTTGGGAGAGGCACTGCAGTGCTGCCAGGAGCCGCATCAGATGGTCTCGCTGACTTGGGGATAGGGGGAATCAAAGCCACTCCCAGTGACTTCTTCCCATCCCCACCACTGCAATGCAAGGGCGGCAGGGAAGCCTGGAAATAGCAGAACACAGCACTCAGACTGAGTATCCATCCTTCCACCTTTGATTCCACAAGAAGTTTAGCTATGTTCTTAGCTATGAGTTGGAAGGAAAAGTCAAGCTGATGGAGCAGCTTGGCCTAGGATGGGCAACGGAAGGGGAAATGGTGAGGGAGAGACTGTGTCCCATGCTGTTGCCAGCTCTCTCCCCTTGCTCACAGCTCTGGTAGTGGCTGCATTCCCACCTGGCATCCATCTGCTTGGAATAAGGATGTTCTGGGGTACCATTGCCTCTGTTAGCCTTTCTGATGGCATGGTAATACTACCCTCTCACTGTCCCCAAAGCACCTTCCAGACATTGCTGAACTCTGTCCAAGCCCCCACAAAGTCATTTTGCACGCTGTCAAAACCCGGGTTTCTCAAGCTCATAATTTTTTCCTGCTTCTGACCTTCCTACATGTGCTCTCTGGATGTTCAGTGCTCTCCAGCTCTCATACAATTCATCATCTTGGGCTTACTGTCATTTATGAAGTTCAGCGGAGCTCCCTACCCTGCTGTTCTGTGTAAGGTCTCTCCACCTGCTGAAATTATTTCAGGCTCCCCATACCATGGCTAGGAAGGGGGATGGAGGGAGTGGGGGCAGACACACACCCATCCTTAGTAACCCATCATTCTGTCACAGCTAAAGAGCCAAATCAGGAACTGCTCAGACTCCAGTGAAACCAAGAGAGTTCATGTCAGGGATACATTTGGCCCTGTATCTGCAAGTATACTAGCCTTTTATTGGTTATCCTTCTTACAAAAGCTGTTATTCACCTGCCTTCTGCCCACCACGGCAAAACCAAAACAACTGCAGCTTCTGCCCCTCCTGCAAAAGCAACTGAGTGGATGGGGTCTGGACTCCATTCCCCATGGCCAGAACTGCCAGTTCCCATCACTTATCCCTGGTCAAACCCATGGGAGAGGATGAAGCTGCACAGAAAGCACCAAACTCCAGAAATATTGTCAGAGATAACTGTGCAGAAGGACATGGCTGTACAACTCAAAAGCTGAGACAACCTAAAGCTGAGTTCGCAGGGCTGCCTGCTCCAGCAAACATCTCTTTTCATCTAAACCAGACAGAGCTGATATAAAAAGCCACCAAGAAACTGGTGTGTCTGCAACAGATGATCACAGATACGTGTGTTTTACTAACTGCAGAAGGATATGCTTGACCAGATTAGACACATTTAGTTGCTCCGACTGATTGCTGGTGTTTTCTCAGACATAAAACATAGCAGGAGTCACTAGAGAGCACAGAACTTATTTAAAGACCTCTTCTCTTATTGATATACGCTGAGGACATGAAGTCTGCGGTATACACGTTGCAAAGACAGCTTGAAGCACAATGTCCAGCTGAGCTCTTCCTTCGTTCAGCTGCTTCCCTGGGCTTTCACCACAGGAAAAGATCTCAGAGCTCTGCCTACAGGAAATAAACTGAAGATGCACCACATGTGATTTGGCTTGGTTTCCTTACTTTATATCCTTCTGTCTCTGACATCAACTTCTTGTTATTCCCTTCACTGTCAACACAGCCTGTGCCGTTTTCCCCATGCTCCTGCTCTCCGTTGCTCATACTGCTGGGCTCTGAGGAAGGAAGGCTGTTCTGGATGGGAGGCATGGGCTTGGAGGCTACCAGGGTCCTCTGGGAAGCTGACACAGAAACTACTGGCTTCAGGGTAACCTCATTAGGGTGATCGCAGTCGGGCAGGCCTGCAAAGTGGAGACACAGGGCATAATAGAGGCAGCATGCAAACCTAAAGCACCTGAAGCTGGATATTGCAGTGGACAGATTTTTTTGAAACTTCTAAATAACTCCACAGGGAAACACGCTCATGCTGGCAGTCACCTGAAGCAGGCCAGTGGACGACACTTACCCACTTCCACAGAGACACCAGAGGAACACCCTGATGATCTCGGCTCCTGTCAAACAACAGGGAGACCATGGGCCTGTGCTTAACCATAATGTCACCTGCAAATACACCCTCCTGCTCCTCTCCCTGACCCACAGATGTACACCCCTACAGCAACAGGAGAGCTGTGCAGGGGACTGAGAGCCGGGCAGGTTATTGCAGGGGGGCACATGTAGGGGAGAACCCTTCCCTGGGAATGTGAGCTAGCTCTCTAGGCTGGGAAAAATCAAGAAGAGTGGGCAGGCTCCCACCTTACCTCTCTGTGAGGCTAACAGATCCTCAGACATCCTCCTCATGTTGAGCTTGTCCTTGATCTGAATGGTTCCCAAGTCAGTGCTGCTCACCTCCCTCTCTTTGGGTTCTTGGCTCAAGGCTTGGTGGGAATGGTGAGAAACATCAACTCTATCCCCACTGCTGAGGTCGTGCACACTAGCTTTGCTGACCCAGCCATCCAGGGGAGAGGTGGCCCTTGGGTATGGATGTTTCCCAGTTCCATTCTCATCCCATAAACTCGGCTGCTGCTTCATCTGGGTTGTTAATATGGACTGAAAAGAAGCTGTAGATAGGTAAAAGAGAAGAAGTCAGTTAGTTGACCTCACACCTTTACAATCAACTCATCGAGTGAGTGAGGCATTCAAGGTTTTTTAATCATTCAGAAGATCGGTTTATTTTTATTTTTCATAAACCTAGCATCAGTTTAATTCTTCTGAACAACATTGAGTTAGCAAGCCAGGAAAGAGAGGCTGAAGGCCCCACTGTTAAGAGGGAAAAAAAAAATCCCATTTCAGGACTTGGCTTCTGTGAACACTACCAGTAAAGACCCACACAGTGCTACTGGCATTTCTGGAAAGCATAAATACATCTCAGCAAGCAGGCAGACCTTGCCAGCATTTCTACAGCACCATCCCATCCTCAAGGTCAGATCTGATGGGCAAGCAGAGGAAGAACTGGGAATTTACCTATGATGAAACCACACATTGATAGTAAGGATAGAAACAGAACTCACATCTCATTACCATGCCCAATTTATAGCCAGTTGGGGCACAGCCCCTGTCCTGGCTGGCAGTAGCAGTGATTTGGCTACTGTTGATAAAGGAGAAAACATAATGAACTAATGATAGTTCCATGCGCACCATTGGAGGAGGGCAGGATGATCTGCAGCTCTCTGTCAGACACCTACTCTGACACAGAGTCAGCACATGAGGACTGACCTCCACGGACAATTTCTCCCTTAATTCAGTGTTTTTTCATCTGGCTGAGGCCATCATTACATATTCAACCCCTTTCTGTCCTCACCTTCTTCTTCACTGGTCCATCTGCTGCCACAAAACTGCAAGTTTGAATCAATGCTTCCGCCTCGCAGAGCTATGTATCTGGGTTTGAATTTGGGAATGCTCCCACAGTAGACAGCAACTGGAGAATGGTACTTAGCTTTAAAATAAGGAGAGTACAAATTACTCAAATTTGCAACATAGAATCATAGAATCATAGAATGGTTTGGGTTGGAAGGGACATTAAAGACCATCTAGTTCCAGCCCCCCTGCCATGGGCAGGGACACCTTCCCCCAGCCCAGGGTGCTCCCAGCCCCGTCCAGCCTGGCCTTGAACCCTCCCAGGGAGGGGGCAGCCACAGCTTCTCTGGTCAGTCTGTGCTAGTGCCTCACCACCCTCACAGGAAAGAATTTCTTCCTAATATCTAATCTAAATCTACCCTCCTCCAGTTTAAAACTATTACCCCTTTTCCTTTCACCACACTCCCTCATAAATAGTCCCTCCCCATCTTTCCTGTAGGCCCCCTTAAATGGTTTAGCCAGTTCATCTGCTAGTTCAGGACCCATGGATGCATCTCATCAGGTCCCATGGACTTGTGCACATTCAGGTTCCTTAGATGGTCTTGAACCTGATTTTCTCCTACAGCGGCCAATTATTCATTCTCAAAGTCCCCTCCTTTGCTTTCTGTGTGTTGGGCAGTGTGGCTGGAACCGTTGCCAGTGAAGGCTGAGGCAAAAAATTCATTGAGTATCTCAGCCTTCTCCGTATCCCAAGTAACCAGGTCTCCCATTCCCTTGAGGAGAGGCCCACATTTCCCCTAGTCTTTCTTTTATCACTGGCATACCTATAGAAGATTTTCTTCTTGCCCTTGATGTCCCTGGCCAGATTTAGTTCTATCAGGGCTTTGGCTCTCCTATTCTGATCCTTGGCTACCTGGACAGTTTCTCTGTATTCCTCCCAGGCTATCTGTCCTTGCTTCTACCCTCTGCAGGCTTCCTTTTTGTGTTTGATTTTGCATTTGATATGGAGAAGAAAAAACAGACACCCTTTCTCCATGGAAGACTAACACACTATGCTGGTTTTGGCTGGGATAGGGTTAATTTTCGTCACAGTAGTTACTATGGGGTTATGTTCTGGATGTGTGCTGAAAACAGTGTTGATGACCCAGAGGTGTTTTCGTTACTGCTGAGCAGTGCTTGCACAGAGCCAAGGCCTCTTCTGCCCCTCACCCCACCCCACCAGCCACCAGGCTGGGGGGCACAAGGATCTGGGGGGGCACACAGCCGGGACAGCTGACCCCAACTGACCCCAGGGACACTCCAGGCCCTGTGGGGTCATGCTCAGCATGCAAAGCCGGGGAAGAAGGAGGAAGGGGGGGATGTTCGGAGTGACGGCGTTTGTCTGCCCAAGTCACCGTTATGTGTGAGGGAGCCCGGCTCTCCTGGGGACGGCTGAGCCCCTGCCTGCCCAGGGGAGGTGGTGAACGAATCCCTGGGTTTGCTTTGCTTGTGCACACAGCTTTTGCTTTACCTGTTAAACTGCCTCTATCTCAATCCACGAGTTTTCTCACTTTTACTCTTCCGATTCTCTCCCCGTGCAGGCGAAGTGGGCGAGCGGCTGTGTGGGACTCGGTTGCTGGCTGGGGTTAAACCATGACACATACCAGTAGTGGTCTGCAGTCCTGGCCTCTGCCATGGTGCGTTTGCCCTCACACTATTCCGCTTGGTGAGGCACTTGTATTCCAGCACTTTGACAGCTGAACATTCTATAAATTTGCATGTGTTTTACTGGTTGCCCAGACACGGCTACAGGACTTCTTTCCCCTCCTTTCAAAGGCTAGGCAACACACAGTCGTCTCTAGAATATGACAATGTCTAATAAGTAGATGGTTTCCAAAGCTAGTTTGAAAGTCCTTTGTTTCTGTAATTCTCACTCAATTTTGGGTTGTTTTTTGTTGTTTTGTTTTTTTTTTTTTTCACTTCACAACAAAGGAAGTACAAAGACACAATCACCAGGTGTTATAACTAAAAGAAGGTTTGCACTCTCCATTAGATGTGCCCAATGTTCAGTGGGATTATTTGATTACTGTATCTATAGGATGCAAATTGTCCATCCAAACATTCTCCTTTGTTCTGTTTCACTGTTACAGGTGTTTATTCCCTGCTTTCTTTAAAGCACACACACCCCAAACCAACATAAACATGGCCTGCCTCAAAAAATTTCTGCTCTTGACGGTTCCTGAAAATTCAAAATTATACACAGCATGCTTCCCTGCCCCTTGCCTTGGCCGACGTCTTCCCCATTACCCAGACTCTAAGGCTGGGCCCTCACTTGTACAGCATGAAGAATAGTTGCTGCACTTGCCAGCATCTCCGGGGCCTCGTGACCAGCGCTCCGAATGCAGCTTTTGTACGCGCTCTGCCTCCCTGAGCCGAGCAGCATTCCTGGGCACTGTCACTGCCGGTGCAGGCAAAGGCTGCAGGAGCAGGATTTTGCAACAAGCCCTGCCTGAAGAAGCCTCCAGCCTGCTGCAGCCCTTTACCTGCCGCGAAACCATCCTGCGTTGCCATGGCGGCGGGGGGGGCGATGGGCTCTCCGCAGATGAGCGGCTACTCCATGTGCTGCTGGTCGCTGGGCCTGGTGCCGCTGCCGGCGGGTTCCCCTGCAGCATCAGGAGCCTACATGGGGAAAAATGACACTGCTAGTGCAAGGGACAGCCACCGATCCCTGGCATTGCCGTGCCTACCCGGGTTCCTGAATATGAAACTTGCCCAGATCAGGTGGTGGTAAAACAACATAAAAATACGTCCAAGCTACGCATTTTCGGCATTCTGTCGAAATCACAGCCATAAACTTCAAATGCTGGAGGAAGGCTGCTGTTGGCATAACGGGGGAAACATAACTCCAGCCCAGCAGCTGCTCTCCCCATGGCTGTATGAGCACGGCAGCAGAGAGAAGTCTCTCACTGCGCGTTGGAGTGCTTCCCACTCGACTCAGCGCTGCCGCTGCAGCGGGAGCATCATTTCATACATTCGACAACAAAGATCTGTAATGTCACACTGGACTTGCCCCAGGGACAACCGAAATAATGGGGAGTAGAATAGTTTGCTCCTTTCTAATACAAACATACCTGGATTTACCGGACACTGGTGTGTAACCCCTATCTCTAACATTTTCCACCAGTCTGCAAGATTTTTTTCCCGTAGAAAGTGGTAGATAACATTTTATGACACATCCATGAGTAATTCTGAGCCACAACTCAAACGGCAAGCCAAATACTTCCAAATCTGCCACCCGTTGGGAAAGGAAGGAGAAAAGCAGTTGAAACAACTGCTGTTGTAGCTAAATTGCCTGCGTTTATAGCATTGTTGAGGTACCTATAGCACTTGCAACACCTCAGAAAGCCTGAGGCTACAGCATAACCCTTATTCAGGGATTCCAGATATCCAGAAACTATCTGCTGTGCTCACATCAGCAAATGCACATCCCACAGGACTAATGGAGTTGTAGACAGTGTTTATAGTTCTCAGGGTATGTGAGGGTAAAAGAAGTTTATGCTTAGCCCTTTAGGTTAGTGCTATAGCAAAACATGACACTTTCCAGCTTCAGTACCTGCAATCCGTTTCCTTACCGGTTTGGTTGCTTCCACTTCGAAACGCTATAGAGATTTCTTTTCACCTTCTGACACAGACTTCAGTCACCATACAGGGCTTGGACTTCCTTAAACATATTAGCCCATTTCTTATGGCCTAAGTGAGAGGTAAGAGGCGATATTGCAGAGCATACCTTAGGCTAAGAGGTAAGATTCCTATAAACTTTAGTGAGTACAGAAGGATGCCAATGGGAACTGCTTTTGAAAATCCACTCATAGGTGCCTCTAAAGCTCTGCAAATGGAACGACTATCACATGGTCGCTAAGTGCAGCCAGAAGGATCAATCACAGACACAGTACAGTTAAATTATTACAGAAAAAGAAATTCCTCTGTACTCGATGGAAAAAGCAAAGTCAGATCCCTATTAATGTGTTCTGTAAGCCTCAAACAAATAACAAAGAATGCCTGTATAAGGACTTTAGGTACCCTACTATTTATCAAATTTACAATCAGATAAAATGGTATCCTCAAGTAAATTTCAATATAAATTGTTCATATTGCATTGTTCATAAGGTCCTGTACTGCTCCACCCCCTGCCCAAGAGCTTTAATTCTGATCAAAAGCTGTCAAAGCATTCATCTGGAGTAAAGCAAGTGATTTCAGAAAGGCTGGAGCTGGCTGAGACAGTTAACCCACTTCTGGCTTTCACCCTTTGTGTTAATCTAGATAAATTCACAGAGACAGTTTAAGGTCAAGGAATTAAGGTACTTAGAGGGTTTTTTAAGCCTAATTCCCATTACTTTCAATGAAAGGCAGGCACTAAATATCCTTAAAAAGACAAATGTAGGTCTATTTGGACTGTGTACTTTAAAACAACAAATGGATATATCATTTTGAGTGGGACTAGGGCATAAAGCAGGGATTAAGGTATGTTTTCTTTGGTTTTATTTCACAGGATGAATATTTAAGAAATATGCCAGTGGCAATTTTGGCTGGTTAAGATCACCTCCTAAATGAAGCTGAGCATGCCCCATTGCTTAAGGTATTAAAAATACCCAAGAGAAAGTAGTAAGTACCAGAAATGAATGTATCCTGTAGCTAGGACAGAAGGCTGCCTCTGCTGCCGACTTACCCTGGAACTCAAAGCCAGGCTCTCTTTGACTCAATTTTGTTACTCTGCCAGGCTGTCCTACCTAAATGCTAGCACGCTATACAGCGTAATTAAGAAGGGCATTACTTATGGCACCTCCATGGCCCCCAAAGGCTTAATTGCCAAAATTCAGGGCATAGTTCCTAATTCAGGCCAGCTACATGATGTGAAAACCCCCAAAGGTACAACTATGTAGAGCCAGCCCTTCCTCCCTTGCACCGAGACCACTGTAACCAGAATGATAATGGCAATTTGCCTGCAGCCTGGGGGAAGTGCTGGGTGAGCAGGATTCATTGTTTGCCACTGCTGACAGGAGCACGGAAAACAAACTGGTGCCATTCTCTGTACAGAGAACAGTGGCAGTGGTTCACTGCTGGGTGAAAAAAAAAAAAGTGTTAGAAAATGGCTTTCTGAAGAGGAAAGAATGGAACACAGCTGCATTTCAACAGCTCCAGGCCCTGGTGATGTTTCAGTAGACAGTAACTGAACTCCTTGTCATCCTTCCGCTGGGTTAATCAAGAGGAAATGCATCCTCTGGGATTTTCAGCTTCTTTGGATCATTAGCACCCAGTAAATGAAAACAGAGATTATTTAATGCTATCATTACTTTCTTTCCCAACTAACAGGCTATTTCTCTGGTGGCATCCCAGCACAGCAAACATACAGTATCGCTATGTGAAGCGTGCTGATGCCAACAACCCTACAGAGCCTGTCAGGACTGGAGCCGCCGTGGAGGTTGAACCCAATATCTCACCAGCCAGAGGGTTGTTGTGAGGATAAAATGAAATTGGAGCACTCACAGTTGTTTGGGGGGTTTTGGCCAGTGGATTTCAGCTTACAGTGTCATAATGCATCCATAGCATGAAGTTTTTATGTAGAGTAAAAAGCCATCGCCTAGTGAAACTGGGCAGTTTCCCCAAGCCAGCGGGAGAATCACGTGGCAGATCCCTGTGCTCCTAATTGCATCTCTCCCCATTTGTCTAAGTTCTTGGTGTCAAAGCTACTTAAGCTAGACACACAGTTCACAAGAAGTGCTCCCTGTGCCTTTCTGCACAATGATCCAAGTGAGGTTAAACATCCAAAATCTGTTTTCTCTTACCGTTGAACTTACTGTTTTGAGGAATTTCTGAACCAGTAAACTTGCTTCCTCAAATATATACTGTGCATGGCAAGGAGCACAGAAAAGATATAATGTGAAAGCACCACCCACGTGATGCTCTTTTTACAAATTCTGCCCTCAGCTTTCATTTGGAAGATCTTAAAAGTTCAATGCCCCTATCAAAAGCTCCTGCGATGGCTGCTTCACAGCAGAGCAGGGCTGCTCAAGCATGAAACAAGAGTTACCACAAGCAGCAGCTTACCCAGGGCAGCAAATCAAGAGTTCAGAATAAACTGATCTGAATGCCAAACCTCATTAGCTCCTTCAAAAAGCACTTGAACAGTCCCTCATTCCAGCTCTAATGAGGTGGTGTACTGGACACCACGGTTATGTGAGTACTGTACACAAGTTTGCTCCCACTGACAGTCTCTGTTGGAGAGGCAGCCAAGGGTGTTTGTTCCCCAAAGGCGGGTGACTGATTGCTCTGTGGGCTCCTGTGACTGCGGGACACAATGAGATGAGAAGGAACCAAGCACACTGACACACCTTTGCCTTGAGCATAACCCAGCCTCGCACTAAAAGGTTTCCCCTCCTTATTGAGGGACTTTGAAGAAGACCCTGAACTTGCAAGATCCTGAGCCCATGCAGGGGTTTGCAGAGCGCCTCATGCAGAGATATCCTCACCCTGAGGGCCCTCCAGGTGCTAATGATGTATGAGCATAAATCAGCGGACAGCAGTAAAGCTGTGGGGGCTAGCACTAGAAAAAGCACACAGCAATCAGCTGCTGCTTCTCTTCTGAGAGCAGGTCCTCATGGCACGTAGGATTTCTGCCATGAAGGACTCTGGGAAAGGCTCTAAGTGCCCAGCATTCAAAGCCTGGATACAGAAGCTGTCACAACCAGCACCTGAACTAGTGTATCCTCAAATTGAGTCTAACCAGTGGCCCATGTCTTGAAATGTTAGGCCAGCTGCTTGTTGGTCACACCAGTCTCTTGTAAAAGCATTTTCCTTAGAAATATCGGGCTTATCTCCCTCTGTGCCTTCCTCTCAGCTGCCTCAGGGAAAGGGGTCTCCCACCCCATAGTTCTGTGTGAAGCCATCCCAGAGGGATACTAAAATATGTTCCCCAGACAGTAGTTTTCTCCTGGTAGGGTCCTGCATACTGTTCCACACACCTTTCATAAAGGCACAAACCAACTCTAAGCACTCTGACTACAGCAGGTTTCCACAAACAGCTGCATAAATACAAGGTAAATCCAAGTGAGCATCCTAGGGGCTCTGTCCTGTTCCTGTGTAATTATCAGGCAGGGAAATTCTCAGTGATCTGAAGCAATTTTGTTCAGCTGCAACATAGGATCCAAGTTTTGTATTGAAATTTTTCATTATGAGTAACAAGCATTGGAAGCACAAGGTGCTGGGCTGACATGCAAAAGCAGGAGCATATCCTCTAATGCGATGAGTTTAATTGTCCATTTTATTAATCTTATAGCTATTCCACTAAAGTCCCACTACTGTTCTTAGTGCTGTATTAACCTTGAAATACAACAGTTTCCACTGCTCAGAATTTATTCCCTGGTCTTTACACTATTTAACATATCTGTCTTGTTCAGGGCCTAAGGCCACCAATCAGGCATCACTGAAATATTTAAAACCTCAATACACCTAACCTACAAGGTATCACTTAGCTCCACAGGCATTTAAATCCCTAGGGTGCCCAAGTGTCCACATGCTGATGCCTGCTAAACACAGGGGTTGTCTTGCATCCGACCTGCTGCTCAGAGCCCCACACCGTGGTGCCCAGAGGGCCCAATGCAGGATCAAGGTGGACAAACGCATATTTTCCAACACCTACCAGCTGGCAGAATCTGCCTTGGGTGAGCTGGATACCACTAAGAGGTAAAGGAGTGACAGGCTGTCCCTGCAATAAACTGCAATGCCTACAGGGAGAGAGACAAAAAGGAGCTGCCAGGTCTGAACACACAACACAGTAGAGCTGGCTGACAAAACCTTTTAAGGGTTTGGCCTACTGACCTGACAGAAAATACCATGTTTCCCCATCGCCATCACTTCTAATGTCTGAAAGCGAACATAGCCAAAGAACATCATGGAAGGTGGAAGACTGCAGAAGCAGAGCTAGCTCTGCTGCCGACTCATTGCCTTGCCTGCAGAGAAATAGAAGTATAAATCTTTAGAGCAGAAAAAACTTAGAAGCATATAAATGTGACCTCTGCAGGCCACAGATTTTGAATAAGTCGGCTTTACAGGTCGATATCTCCAACTGAACAATGCAAATGATGCTTGGAAGCTTTCCAGTGCTCTCAAAGGCCCTGGAGTGGCAGATATTACACAAATACGCATGGTTACCAATTGTCATTACAGCAGCGGTTTCTGCAGCAGAGCCCCAGCTTGCTAAATTGTTAGGGGTGACGGAGCATGGATATTACTAGGAAGAAAGGGAATGAAAAAAATTGAAGCAAAGACATTCTCTCCAGAGAGAGAAGGAGAGAAACAAAGGGAGAAAGTAACCAGCAGACACCTCTGATAATGAGCAGAGTCCCTGTATTACAATCCTTCAGAGAGTTCAGTTTGTCCTCCCTCTGCTGCCGTGGCAGGCCAGCATCTCAGTACCGCAAAAGGAATTCAAGATGCATTAGATTGTGGATCTTCCCTCCTCATAATTCCCAGATCCAATTTTCGGAGTTTCACACTTTTAGTAATAAACTCCTCTGAAAACAGAGGTTAACCTGGAGGCAAGTTTGTTCGTCAGCGTGATATTGCTTTGGGACTAGGCATTTACGTATCAGAGAGCCTGTGAGCTCAATAAAGTTCGCTTCTCCTCTCTTTGCTTGAAGTAAAATTATTCCACCTGTCCCCCGCATCCTTTGGAGTGAAGTGCTAATGTTAAACTTAGTGAAACACAGCGATTTAAACCATAGGCAAGAGCAGACTTGCAGGGGTGAACCATCACCCCCAGGAGCCATGTAACACTGACCTAAACCTCAGCAGGGGCCGATTCAGAAAGTTGATTTGAGATTGACCTTCCTAGATTGTACCTGGAAAATAACAGTGTGAGCCCAGGAAGGACCAAAGGTACAGTTTTTGCTTTTTGGCCCCAGTCAGAGCAAGGGGAGTTTGAGCAGGAGCTGAGCGGGGATTTGCCTGTTTGCTCGAGGGCAGCCTGAGCCAGGGTGGGAGCTCTCATTCTGCCTCCCACGGCATGGCAGAGGCCAGGATGTAAATTTTCTTATGAAGAGGAGATTCTCTGCCAAACAACCACCCTGTCTGCTCTGCAGCTCCTGCCTGCCCTCCTCTACCCTCCTTCCATCCACCACCCCAAGCATTGTTCGTCTTCCACACCTCCCAGGACTGTGTTTCTTAAAAGACACCCAAACTCTCTGGCACACAGCGGGAGTCATCCAGCAGAAGCTTCCCTTGCGTGGCTTTAAGACTTTGCGAAACAACTTTTTGAACAGAGAAAAAAATACGAGGAAAAAAATCCTCACATCTTTCTCCCAGATTTTATTGCCTTCTGGGAGAGACGCTTGCACTGAGCAACCTCCACCAGAGCACAGAGTAAAAGCAACCCCTCTGCCCGGCTCCTGCCAGCCCCCGCCAGAGCACCACCTTGCTGAGAAAGCAACAGCACACGAGACAGGGCTAGCCACCAACCTCCTTCACAAACACGCGTGTCCTTCATTTTGGAAATCTAGCTCCACGTTGTTAAGCTTGTAATCCCCCCCAGAGTTGTAAAGCCCCGCTGTGGGTTGCCTCTCACAAGGGAACAAGGATTTCTTCTGCTCCAGACCCTGCGCTTCCAAAACTGGAAGCAGGGACAGCCATTTGTCAAGCCGAGCCCCTTCTCCAGGAGGGCAGCAGGCTCCCCCTTCCAGGTGTACGAGCTCAGCAAGCACACAGTGCCACATACCAGGAATAAACAAGGCTGCATAGCAACCACTTCTCTAAAGAAATCTTGAGCATGAGATGCAAAGAATATCTTTTCCCTGCAGGGCCGGCTGGCAGATCCCCGGGCGCTGCAGCCACAAGCACCCGAGGAACCTCAGCAGCCCCCAGACCTTCAGGCAGGGACACACCGAACTGGAACGTGGTCCCAGTCCCTCCCTGCCTGCTCACGACAGCTGCGTCAGAATCACCCCTAAAGCTGCATGCAACACGCAAGCAAACAGAAAAGTATGCATCTGCTGCAAACTGATAAAAGGGAGGGGGCAATTTCCACCCCCTTCGCTGCAGGATTTGATGACATCTCTGCACAATAAATTGCTTAGCTAGGCAGTGTGAGCTTGCACCCCTCTCAGTTAGATCAGTGTAAATCCAGACCAGCCCTACAGGAAGCACTACATTCAGGCAAGATTAGGAAAAGAGGAGAACTAAATTTCTGGCCCTCTCCAACATGGCATGGCCACAGTCACTGCACTCGCCACTAAATGCTGTCAAGGTGGAACTCTCCACCACCTCCATTACAAATATTTTATACCTCGCCCCTGTGCTGTGGATAATTATGCAATATGCAATGCACAGCAGCAATTTAGTTTTGCTACTGTGCTTGGTTGTAGTTATGCTCACTCAAAAACTACTTTCAAATGTAAAAATATTATTTTCATAATTTCCATGTCTAGTTTGCAAATTTTCCATAACAAGGTTGCTGCTGGCTGTTTTTACAAACACCTGTGTACACAAAAAGAGAGAGAAATTTTGTACAGAGGTGCAAGAGCTAACATGAGGTTCTCTGTTAACCATAAGGAACAGCAGCTCAACCCGTCTTTACAATGATTTGGATGGAGAGTGTCCACGTGAGTACTATGAGAAAAGGAATTCAGATACTAAGCAGTGAGTCCTGAGCAACTGTATCTAACCTGCAAGCCAACAGGTAAGTGGGGAAGGGGCTCTTTAGCTGTAAAAATTTACAATAATTCAGCTCCTACAGGGGAAAAAAAGCCACAGAAAACCATTTGCAGGAGTCAGCAATCCTTCTCCAACTAGCAAAGGCAGCACACACACCCTGTTGCCATTTGGGGAGATGCCCGTCACCTCACTTGGTAAAAGCATCAGCAAAGCCAAAGGGAAGCATCTTCCTGTCACTGCCGAGCCACCCCATAGGTACTGTCGCTGTAGGAGTAAAGGATTCAGCCTTATAATGAGTCACCTTAAACCACGCAATTCTCTCAGCTTCTCCAAGGCTGAGTAATCAGATACGTGAGAAAATAACAACCCTATATATCGCAGAATGGCAGAAAATGAGCTGACTGCAGCAAATGAGTCTCCAAATGTGACATCTCCTGCACGAAACAGAAGAATTCTCTCAAAAGGCTTCTCCCTTTTGCTACAAACAAGAGGCAGAGGACTGCCCTCAGACTCCAGCACTGCTTTAGACCTTAGGAGATACAAGGAAAATTCTGCCTCAGCTGTGTTGCAAGCTTCAGGCAAGACTTAATCCGCACCAGTTCCTGCCTGCAAAGCAAGCATAGCAGAAATGCTGCTTTTCACCTTTCTCCATACTTTCTTTTAAGGCAATAAACCCTTTAAGGTAGGGAATTGTCTCCCTACTTGTGTGTGCATCATCTAAGAGAGCTGGTCCAGCCATCAGCTAGCAACGTTACCACAAAATAGTGGTGGCAGTAGCTCTTCAAAGGACTTTCCCCAATACAGTGTTCATTTTTTCCCTTTAATTAAGGGTCCAGCAGTGAGCTACCAGCTCAGCTCTAGTGAAAAAATTAAGCTCCTGGATATGTCAGAATGAGCAGTTCTACAGGGAAACAGCATTAGCAGCACTGAAAAGTGTGACCCTCGTTAAATCACCAGAAGTGACAAAAGTAGAGCAAAGCTGGTCAGCTGGTCAGACTAAGACCACCTAGGAGGATCTAATGTCCAGTCTCCCTCCCTGAGCACCTGCTTACACTCTCTTTTCTTTTACCTCAGTGATACTGAAACTGATGGGACAGACTGAACCCAAGAGAAACTTGAAAGACTACATGCTTAGCCTTAAAAACAGTAAGCCAAGGTTTTATTTCTTCCTTTCTAAAAGGAAGAAAAAATGTTGCAGCCATAATCGAGGAACAGAGTACCTTCCCTCCTGAGTCTAACTGGGGTCAGACCCACTCCACCTCCAGCAGTGTCACCCATGTGGCTGTGACCTCATGTCACCTGCACCGCCTGTAGTGACACGTTATGTTACGTGGGGAAGGGGCAGTGTCCACGCATTCACACGCATCCTGGAAATGAACCTCTTGACAGCTACCACGCCGTTCCTTGAGACAGCCGTGGGATAAAACATTGCTACAAGGTCAAACCCTCTCTTTTATCCATCTCCAGCACCTCCATCAGTCCCCCTCTGACAGAACAGGCCAATCATCCCTCACAAGTTAAAAATGCAAATTGCCTTGAAATCCCCTTTCTCTAGGCATGAAGCACGGCCCCTCTATTTCAAACAAACACCTCTTGGACTTATTTTGCTAAACCTCCACACGCTGCTTTGAAGCCTCGGGGCACTGCAGGCAGGCACACAGAGCTGAGCAGGGCTTTTCCCCCCATGCTCAGCAGGGATGGAAATCATGCCACCTTACACTCTTGTATCCAGAAACCCACTCAGCTGTTCCTCTCAGCACGTTTTCTCTCACACAGCACACTTGCTGAGCAGCGCGGCCCTTTGCGGCAGCCTCCTGGCAGATTCTTTTTTGTCCACAGGCACCTCTGCCGGATCGGGACCCCTTGGGTTTTCCCCACGGCAACCTCTTTTGTGCATTGGGCAAGGGCGATCGATACCGCCTGGCATCTGAGCCCATGAGGGAAGCGGCCCAAGCGCACAGAGTAGATGTTAATTAGAGCCCAGCAGACAGATCTGGAGCCAGCGAGGTTATACAGACCTTCTGGTTACGTGACCTACAGCAGCAGCAGAAGCAGGTTATTAATTTAGTACTGGAGGTGCCAACGAAGCTTTGCAGACTGGTCGGAAAGAGCTGGGTTTCAGTAACAAGTACAGGCTGTGCTCCCAAGCCTCTTCCACTGATAAAAATTAATGTGAGCTGAAATACTAACACACAGAAGAAGTGTGTATGAAGGCCTTTTATTTTTAAAATGTTAATTTTTATCAATCCTGAATTCACAGTGATAGAAAATGAGAGAAAAAAGCTGGAGAGACCACAGGAAG